CATTGTGACAATAGCGGAGAGAATGTTCAAAGGGACAGCCCGCTCTTTTTTGTAGCGTTTAACCTCATTATCTCACAGACATCGCCAAGGAGTGAAGTGGCACGGACTTTTGTGCCTTCCGTCTTTTCAGTCTCCCTATGATGGTTGCTAAAAACTTCATATCCTCATTTTCGTTCTACCCTTTTCATTTAACTTTGTTCAGATCACGACCATGATGGATACGTCCTTGCTCGCATGAAGCATCTGCATGGGGTAAATTTGACGTACGGGCATGGCATCATAGCAAAGGCTTGCACAATGCTTCGTGTTTCCATTACGACTATTAAAAAATAAAAAAACCCGCCAAATTGCAGATCGTATGCAAGCGAACCTTAAACAGGGCAGTTAAACGCTTGGGAACTCCACTCAAAGAGTTCACAAATACGGCGCTCCATGAGTGTAATTCACGTATTTATATGCCGCGACAATTTATAAGACAAAGTTGAAATAATAGTGGAAAGAAATACAATTTTAAATCAACTTAAAATTATCTCATCTTCTTGACAAAACAAGTAGATGGCACCTATGAAGTGCCGTACAAAAATAAAAAGGCTCATTATTTCTAAGCTGACACTATTAAGAAGAGAATGCAAATAGCGTGTCGTAGTACGCTTGATGTATGTTGCCTGATGGTAACCGGCAAAATAGTAGTCCTCTCTTATTACTTTCGTTGTATCATGAGACGAGTCCGGTGACCATGGTAACGATATTAATGGTCAATTGCAATTGCCCTGGCCAATGGTAAGTGGTAGGCACCGTAATAACTTTTATTTCGAGCCACTTTTCCGTGAAAGTCGATCCCTAAAAAACAATTGCTGTTGATCACAGTTTGAGCCCCTTAGTGTATTGATCGCACTCAAACGAACCGTTAATAAATCAGTTTAAGCGCAGTCCTTTGTGTCGCGGCATATAAATACGTGAATTACACTCATGGAGCGCCGTATTTGTGAACACTTTGAGTGGAGTTCCCAAGCGTTTAACTGCCCTGTTTAAGGTTCGCTTGCATACGATCTGCAATTTGGCGGGTTTTTTTATTTTTTAAAAGTCGTAATGGAAACACGAAGCATTGTGCAAGCCTTTTGCCTAAATTTTTTCCCCGATGGGTATTATTACAGGAATAAATATTTGCTTGGCCGGTCTTAAACGTTAATGAACGCTGATAATGAACGCAGATAATGCCCTCCTCTGTGGCTCGGTACTAGAGTCGCGTCCATTCTCCTGAGTCGGTCTTAAACGTTTAAGACCGGGCACGCGCATTATTTATTCCCATTCATAAATACCTTGTTTAGTCACTTCCAACAACTTCATTCTAAAATTTTACTCTCATGTCCCGAACACCCGGTCCATTCTACGGTACATTACTTGTGCACATTTTTCAGAAGAATCAGCATTATATGGACTTGGCACGCGTGTGGCGCGTTCAGCATGCCGCGTCACACACAGACTCTTGACAGAGAGGGATGGGTTAAAACTCTCCTCTATCCAGGTTCCACAGCAGTTTTATTACACAGCGGGCATTATCAAATCTCAGCGGGCATTATCGAATGTTAATACACGGTCACGCTGCGCGTTGAATAGGGAAACTGTTGTAGTCATTTGTGAATATGGTTTTGTACATCCAGGGAATTTAAATTTTAGAGAGCCGTGGCAGTGGCATCGGAAGTGTTACCAAAAGTTTTCTTTTCAAGTTCATTGGAACGGATTTATAGTAGGCCTACTGTCGGGACCATAAGCGTCCCGGGGGGCATACATTTCATCAGGGGCAGTTTCCACGAACCTTCAAGAACCAATTTTCTAAAAAGAAAAAGGTACATGGTCGACCCACAGAGCTATGTAGCTCTATGGGTCAACCTCTACTTCATGATGGGCTTCGTGCGCGTTCCTTCACTAGCCCCTTGTCGTGTGGAATTCGAAAATGACGCTGACTGGCTATTCAGCACGAATATACAAAACATAATGTGAATCGCAAGCGTATTTTAAAAGTTAGGCCTACACACTCACGTCCACACTCCCTGCACGTCACGCATGCGTAAATCTGCGTCGTTCTTAAACGCAATGACTATCCGGTTCGTAAGTGACTTCGTCACAAAGGCGGACGTGTCACGATTTGCAGGCTCCCATTGGACGATCGGTGAAGTTGCGCGTTAACTTCCGGTTCCATGGTTCCATGTAAACTGCGATCAATGCATGTAACTCTATATGTGCAGTGGGCCTGGGCGTGGTTTAAACTGAAGTCCTAATTTAAATATCCTAAATCAGTGGGTGTGTTTGGTTTGAGTGAGCTACTCGCGTACTCCCCCGAATTCGAAGCGCACGAACGGCAGGAGTACGCCCCGCGGAGCAGCGAGTCTTAGGCCGTGTCCAAAACGGGCTTCCAGAGCTACGGCTAGGTCTATTGTCTATGCATCTCCACGCATTTCAAATGGAGCGAAGACCTAGACTTAGCTCTAGACAACAGATTCGGATGCAGCCTCTGAGTATACTCCCCGTCATACCATGCTTGCCAGAAATATACTCCTGACCCGAGAGTAATGCGCGTACATCCTCACTCCTGTTGACAGGTGTAACCGCGCGAACACACCCAGTTAGTCCGCACTACACGAGATATCTTTTAATTATACATGTACAACACAGGGGGTAATGCCGCGCAAGGCATAGTGGGAACTAACATGGCGCGGTAAGATCGTACACATGGGAACGAGGTAGGTACATGGTGTATCCCAGCACAGAGTTCACAGTAATGCTTTTTTCGCTCGTCGCCGCTGAGAAGGTCTGATGGCCCTGCACAGATTTTAGTAAAGGAAATAAGTCTAACGGGCTCACAGATAACGAAGTACGGAGCATCGTGGGTAAATTTCTGCTAGTGCAGTCGCGTGAGCTCGCTCAATACGTTACACAATTGGCGGTTATCAATTCGATATTTTCTTTTTTTCCTCGCAGCTAAGAACATTCTCACCACACTTTGTTCATCCAAAATTGAACAAATAACCAGTGATTTCAAATATTTGAAATACTTAGTGAGAAGATAAATTATCACACTGTGATTGTACCAAGGCCATGTTTTTATCATATAGCCGACGCTTTGCCCGGCCAAAGCATTGCCATTGGCTAACCAAGAAATTTGAATAACGCTTCGCTAACGTGAAGTGATGACCTCGCGTTCACAGGTCGTGCGCAATATGTAGCCAATCACAGTACAAAGCCATTAGTCCTTCCCAGCGCCTTGTTTAGCGAAAGTAAAGCTTATGGGTGCACCGCTGTAAGTATATAGGCCAAAAATGTGTCCGCCGAGCTCATTAATTAAGTTATACACTCAAAATTATTCTATTCTAGGGATTCCTGAGAGCCATGGAATTGAATTGAAGAAATATGGCACTGAACCTCTGGCCTGGACTTAGGGCTTCCAATTCTGAGAAATAGGACGCAACCAGGTCCGAAAACGGTGTCCCTATTCAGCCGTTTTGTAGAAGGATGCAGTTTCAAAAATGGCTACTTTTCGGGGCACGGAAATTTCCTTCATTTTAGGGGTGGTCTACTTTGGTTTAGAATTTCTCAAAAATCCATTGGTCAACCCACTAAAATCGAAAGAAAAATGAAACAGGACATGTCAAACTTCATTTTTTCTGTCTATCCCGGACACCTGTGAGAGTTGAGAACATTTTTAAAGTAATTTTGAAGTAAAGGGATTTATCACTGGTGTCTATGGGAATTTATTCACGGAGTGCATCCTTATGATCTCTAAAGTGTGTCCCCAAATCCCCAGACGGTTGTGAATAAGAAACACGCGTCCCCAACATGCAAATTAGTCTGGATACCAGACTTGACGATTCTGACTACTCTGCGAATCAAGGGCCGTTTTCCAATACTCAACTTCGGCTTCGTTCCCAAAACCGATCCCCGATTGTGGGCCCGAAGCACTTAAATTACATTGAATTACTATAATATTTGGCTCTCTTACATCTTATTTGATACTTTGTGGCACTATTAGACGAATTACTGAGCTTACAGCTTTAAAGTCAGCTAGTTAAAAAACAGTTGAAGCCTGAGACGGAGCCGAAGTTGAGTATTGGAAAACGACCAAGGGTCCGCTATCATCCATGTCCACGTGACCAAGACTGGAGGAATTTTTTTCTAGAAATAGCCAAAATATTCCGAAGTCGTCCCGTCTATATTAGGCATACCGTTGATGTTCGGTTATTCCCGGGGAGGTAGGGGAGCTGTTGAACATAAAAACTAGTATACCACCTGTTAATCCCACATAAATTTGACTTTACACTGAAATCGAAGGTCGCCAAATGGGCAGAAATCAATGCTGGGCAAAATGCAAAATGTAATGCCCACATCTAGGTGCACAACTGTAATGAAATCGAAAACACCTCTCGCGGTGACCCCTGACCATGGCATCATATCTGTTTCCGTGGGTTGCAGGTGCGGCCTGACCTAAGCTTGCAGGCTGTCAAATTTTCTGCTATTAGAGCCTTTTGAGTCACGTGGACTAGGTGGTTTTAAAAGGTGGATAAAATGCAGGGGCAGGACTGTCAACTTTTATTTCTGAAAGTATTGGACCAAACAGGGTCCTCCAAATTGCAATATTTTGCCATGGAGTGTAGGCATCAAATTCCAAAATGTGGTGGGCCTGGCCTCCTGACTGTTTTGAGGGGTGATTTTCTCTGGAGAGAAATATCTTCAAAACTCATCGATTAAGCCACTGAAAATTGAAAGGAAAATAAAAGATGAGGAAGTGAGCTCTAATTCGATATGTGTCTTGAACGCCTGTGAAACTTGTATTTTTCCTGATTTTTTTGAACTGGAGATATTTATCACTGTTGTCTATGGCAACTGATCAACTGGTCCAGACTCCTAAGATTTTTTTTTATTAAGAGTCGTCAGGGAATCTTTGGGCACGGAACCAGACTACATACAAATCAGCTCCGAACCAGTCACTTGAGGGCGCCCTATCATTAGTCACAACTATCAACCATGCTTGATCATGTCTGTTGTTGAACTTCATGAACTTGAATGAATCAATAGGCCTACGTCTTTGATGTGTTTGAGTTGTGGATGAGCTTTGGACATGGCTAGTTTTGCCCCAAAGTTTTGGAAACCTGGTGAGTGTGACGGGAAGAGTTCCGTATACCGACGCCAGTCCTGCCAGAGCCTAGCCCCACTGTACTAGTGTGGCAGGGACTCGCACTCCCTATCTATCCTTGATCCTTAGCCACACATCCGTATACGCAATTTCGTGTCGGCGTACTGAACATTATCGGCGCACCCACGTATCATCGTGGGCGCAATTTCTTTTGCACACAAACATGATCCTTGACCTTTCAGTTTTCTAAAAACCATTTATTGAATGATTTCACTCACGTTATTCAGGTATTTTCCAGTCTTTTTGCCTTTATCCATTCAATCTAATGGAGCTCGCTCTCTCAGTCACCATCTTTAAAATGAGGTCGTTGAACATTACGTCACTTGACCCCTCATAGTCTCGACAGCTCTTCCATGTCAAGACATCTAAACTGCTGCCAAAGTTTTGAAAGAGCCCATTGGTACATGTAGTATCTTATCGCTCAGTCCGTTTATTACATATGATTTGACATGGAAGAGCCATCGAGACTATGAGGGGTCAAGTGACGTAATGTTCAACGACCTAATTTTAAAGATGGCGACTGAGAGAGCGAGCTGTTAGATTGAATGGATAAAGGCAAAAAGACTGGAAAATACCTGAATAACGTGAGTGAAATCATTCAATAAATGGTTTTTAGAAAATGGAAAGGTCAAGGATCATGTTCATATGCAAAAGAAATTGCGCCCACGATGATAAGTGGGTGCACCGATAATGTTCAGTACGCTGACACGAAATTGCGTATACGGATGTGTGGCTAAGGATGGATCGGGAGTGAGAGTTCGTGCCACACTAGTGGGGCTAGCCAGAGCCTAGACCCGTAAACGGGGCCCAGTGAATACTCCTCTGTCATGTACTGGGCCCTGTCAAGATTAATAGGGATTTCTTTCGAAAAATTTATCCGGGATATCCGGGGGTATAACTTAACATCCGCTTAATTTTATGAGCTGAAATTGCATCGGTATGTTCACTACTCACGCTGTAAAAAATCTGATAGGTTGCTAATTGTAGAAAACTCTCCTTTTCCTCATTTGGAGGAAAAAATGGTTCCTTTTTTGCCGTTTTCACACTCCCTATGAATTTTGGCCTGACTTGCACATTACACAGACTCCTTTGTATGGTTAAGTAATGGTACCCTGTACGAGAGCCTGTCTAGTTCGCACCGAGACTTCAGCACCTAAGAATCTCGTTCAGATCTGCGAGAGTACCTGTCGATCTAAGTACTCGTAGAAAATTACGCCTGTTTTGTTTAGCTAATACGCAACGCCCTTGGCTGGTTCCCTGTCCAGTCACACACTGTTTGCGGCAAATCATTGGTAGCGTGGCTCGCTCTCTGTAACATGACGCGAAAGTGACGAAACAACCGTCAGTTTTGTACAAGTGGGGCAAACTTCGTCCGGAGAGGGAAAATGGCCAATTTTTCAATCTAATCTTCCCCCAAAAGGCCATCAATCGTAATCCATATCTATTTAAATTTTAACCCCAATGAAAGGGCTCTGGACCATGTAACCAACTATGTTGGGCAAAACTTCAAGCTTTTACTCACCATCTTGCCTCAACGATCTGCACATATGCACTTTGTTAACACAGTGCTCAAACAGTACTCATGCCCAATGTCACGAACCTCTCATTACGACTCGACCATTCTGAAAGCGGGAGAGTATGGCAGGGTGCGCCACGAAACTGTGATTCAAAGTTTCAGTGGCATAAATTTGTGTCAGGAATGGGGGATGGGGATATGGGGAATTGTGTGTGGGGGGAGGGGAGAATTGCCTGGCCATTTCCATGGCCAGGAAAGTCTCAATAGCACTCAAATGGGGACGGCAATCAAAGCCATAAGTTTGCCATTCTGATGTAAGATTCTGCAAGATATCTGTATTAACCCTAACTGCCCAAAACCTGCCCTGCTCCAACAGCAGGTTTTGGCAGGTTTGGTACTGTACCTGAGGAACTTGTTGAATTTGATGAGACTTGGGATGAAAGGCCCAGGGAGATGGTGTTGGATTCTGTGTGAGTTGGGACATACACGGGTCACTGTGTGCAGTGTCTGGCTTACTGTACCAATTGTTGGGCTATGCTTGATTTTGTCAGGTTTGGTACTGTTCAGTGCAAATCATCCTATACTGCATTGACCCATCCATACCATATCACTCAAACTCCAACGGGCTCATTCTGTTTGATTTGATCAGGTTTGGTACAGTAACCTGCATGTACAAGTACATAGACAAGTACATGAACCTGTTGGATTTTGTGAGGTTCAGTATGCTTTCTACTGCAGGAGCCTAGGGGGTTAGGGTTAATGAACATTGACCCCTGTACAGTCAGTGTCATACATGTATTGTGTCAGCCCCCCATCACGCCCTTTTAAATTTCCATGCCTGGGCAAGTCACCCCCCTACAATTCCCCATCCCTGAGCACCCCATCTTAATTTACGCCCCTGGGCAAAGGGAGTGGGAAGACGAGGATCCCAATTTTTATAGGATGACTGATCTTTTGTGCATTGCGCAAAGAATTAGGCCCCCACTGGGCATAGATGTCATCTTTTGGGCCAACATTTTTCTTGTTATAAACATACAAACTTCAGGGACAGACAAACCAGGGGCTGGTCTGAAAGAAGAAAGGTCACAGATCAGCGAAGGCAGCGGAGAGTGTGCTGTTTACAACCCTTATGTAGCAATCTCCATTGAACAGCAGAGACAACGACTCCCAGTGTTCAAGGTATATTGGCAGGCTTTGTGTATGTGAACACTTGATTGCAATATAGAAACAAACTTTTTGGTGTTCAAAGAAAAGTGACATGTACTAATAGTTAGCTATTTATATTTAAACGTAATAAAGTTTCCATGTTAAAATTTACTTTTCTAAATACAAATGCTATTAAAATAGCATTCCAAGTCTAACAACGTATTATCTGAGTTGAAATAAGGCTGAAAAAGTTATCAAAACCTTATCCCAGATACCATATTATGAGTTTTGAAGGATGCTAATAGTGGAGTTTAAAAAACGTAGGGATATTATCAGTGACTTTCTTTCTTTGTTGTAAGGCCAAACAAAAAACATAGCTGTGTTTCCGGGTATGCGACCCAATCTAGAAAATCACCCAGAACCTGTATCTTTTTATTTGACAAATCAATAAATTTAAAACTTACAGTGCCTTGCCCCGAGACTAATTTTGTGTGCATCATCCTGTACATTGTATTGTTTTTATTTTTTGTTCATTTGGCGCGAGATGGACAGCAATACGATAACCTTTGGCTTGATTATTATCATTGGCACATGTACAGTATTAACCTGAAACTGACTTAGTACCTGTTACAAATATACCAGCCCCCCACCCAAAAATTACAGATCCTCATCTGACCCTAATTTTTGGGCTATAAAAATTTAGAATAAAAAAAATCTTTTACCTAACCAACCAGCCTAATTTATTTTTAGTGTAATAGGAAACACAGCAAATTTTTTGTTTCACCTAATCTGAGGATGTTTTGTCAGTGTAGTGGAATATGATATTGTCTCACCGTGTCTGAGGTTTTATTAAATTCTCATCTCTCGGACACAGTTCACATCAACTGACCCTTTACCTCGTTAACCTTTACGCCGATACCCGGCTATTCTAAAACTCGTTCCTTGGATGGAATTCTTGAAATCCTACAGAATGTTCAGTACCACAAAAATTAACTCGGTACACCTGCTTCGTTTTCCATTTGTTACTAGCATCGGAATCATATCCTGTACCTTCTTGAGAAATACAAGACGGTTGTGATCGTCGGTGAGACGGGATGTGGAAAAAGCACCCAGATACCCCAGTATCTCGTGGAGGCAGGCTGGGCAGCAGAGGGACGCACAGTGGGCGTCACCCAGCCAAGGAGGGTGGCTGCCGTCACGGTGAGTTCATGTGCAAGAGCTTGGTGGAGTCCGACTGGGCAACAGGGCGTGGTGGGCGTCACCCAGCCACGAAGGGTTGTACATGTAGCTGTAGGTGTTTTTGCACAAGTACTCAGCCAGCGGTGTCACGATACTTCATACATGTATACCCTTCCTGATTGTTTTTGACAAAGTCAGCTAGCGGACAGACATTGGTACACTACAGCTATAAAGTGAACCAAAAGAATAAGGTATCAATGGGAGAACCACTTCTCACTTCTTTACAGATTCAAACCTGAGTCACAGATATATGTACCGGGAAACTGAAGGAAATTTAGGCCCAGTTTTCTTCATTTGTGTGTTTTTTTTTGTATGGACGCATCTTGGTAGGTGGCGCAGAGAGTCGCTGAGGAGAGAGGTGCCGTCATTGGCCATGAAGTTGGGTACTCTATCCGCTTTGAGGATTGCACAGATCCGGACACAACCAAGATAAAGGTAGAACTGTAACTGTGCTTGTTGTGCATGTTGTGAAATGGTATAATTCATGGGTCTAACTCTTGGTCGTGCCAAACAATTTATGTCACATGATCTACAATTCACGAATCAGATGATGGGATTTTCTCAGGTGTTGTATAAGCTCACCTGTAGACAAGTAATTCGGATCTTGCCAATGAGTTGACCCTATGGGTGTCTTTATATGTGTTTCATTTCTGTACGAACCTCTTCGAAGTTTTTTTGGGTATATAAATACCTGATTTATTCAGTGTCTCAGTTGGTGGGGACACAAAGAACATGCGGACATGTTTCTGTGTGCTTGCCACCGGCTGCACTGAGCTTACACAACCAGAATTTATTGGAATGTGTTCAATGTACAGTCTTCACGTTTGCCCTGGGAGCCTAGTTGAAAACAGTCCTTGCAGGTCTCGGTCATTTTTGCTAGTGGAGGGGGGTACTTCAACAAGGTCAACAGGTGGAAAGAGGCCTTCTCACTGACAATTTGCACCGTCGATGAAAGACAGACAACTCGGTGCACTTTAAAAGCAGTGGACATTGTAATTTGACTGGTAGTGGAGGAGAATTTGAAAGACAGTTCTTTGTCTGAATGTTTGTTAATTTCCAGTTCATGACGGATGGCTATTTGGTGCGGGAAATGATGAACGACCCATTGCTTTCTAAGTACAGGTAAAAGCACACTCACTGTGTGACAGAGTCTTTTGTGTAAGCCACCGGTCTTACTGATGTCAAAGGCATCTGTTGTTAGTTTTGTAGTTCTCGTTTCCAACTGACTCCTATTTTTGGCTATAATTGAAGAAAGAAAACCATTGTTCATGCCATTGACCCTGCAAGGAATTTTCTACCAAGAAGAAAATGAGAAAAGCAATTTTGGCGGAACCTTCCCCCCCGGCTGATGACCCTCCCTCAAGGTAAAAAAATATGAGAACTACAGAATTGACTTCAGACACCCTACGATGCAATCATGGCCTCCAACATGACTCAGCTGGATATTATTCGGGTGAATCCAAGTGATACCTTTGAGCTAAAAGAGAACTTGTCTTTTTGAGCTTTTTAGAGAACCAAAAGAAGTCTGTAGCTCTAAATGTTTTCTAGCTTGGACTTGAATGTTGCCCTTGTCTTGAATATTGCTCTAAACTCGCCAAAACTGTATTTGCAAAATTCATTTCCGGAGAACCTCATTCTCTGCTACGAAATTGCCAATTTAAACATGAATATTTAGTGCTGGATTGGCACTGAGAATATTGTTGGATTTCCACAAGGCTGTAATTTGTTGCCATTTATTTCCTGGCAAGTGAAGGAAAATATCCTATCTCTTTCCGGTTTCTTTGGTTCTGCTGTGCAGCGTCATCATGCTGGACGAGGCCCACGAGCGAACCCTCTACACGGACATCGCCGTGGGATTGCTGAAGAAGATCCAACGGCGGCGACCCGAGATGCGGATCATTGTTGCCTCGGCAACGCTGGATGCAGAAGCGTTCCGAGATTTCTTCAATCAGAACGAAACAGACGACGCCAGGTGAGATGCTGCTCAATAGAACTGAGTAGATAAATCGTTGATAGTTTTGCTCTCTGAATCGTAAGATTTTGCTGTTGATGGAAGATTGCCATTGAAGAGGATTACAGGAATGAATGCAATGATGATAATGACGTGTATTTAAAAGCACACATATTCTCAGCTATTGGTGCGCAAGGTCATGTCTCATCATGCCCATCAACTTGATTCCCATAACCTCAGCTCCCTTGAGAGTATTCACGTGGAGGCCATTTTTGGTCTTATTCCCCAAATCTGTTTATATATTGCAAACTGTTGATTAGGATGGCACCAGACTGTTTAATACTTCTATGTGTTCCAGGCCTCCCTTTCAATAATTTTCAGAATCTGGCAATGTACAATTCTGTAGGTTCAATCATGAATTTGAAATTATTCATCAGAGTAGACAGGTGCAAGTTTGTCATGAAATTTCATGTTATTGCTTCAATTGTACTTTCAACATTAAAAATGAAGAGTTAACCTCACTTTCAAATTCAATATGGCAGTTTTCAAGATGTATTCTTTTTAGATGTGTTTTAGCGTTGGGGAGATGTTAATTTATATAACGGGTTTTGCCCTCACCCAACGTATATATTAATATATACGTTGGCAGGCCCCATGAGTTAAGTCTATTGCTGTCATGTCAGGCACAAATGGCTAAATCAAGCAAGGTAACCATTTTCCTCATAGGTATGCATGCCATTTCTGTCCTTCCAGAGTAACCGTGTATGTCCTGACAGGTACTTTACCATTTCTGTCCTCACAGATACCTATGGTTTTTCTGTCCTGTGAGACCATTTCTTCCCTCACGTGTACCTGTACCATTTCTGTCCCCACAGAAGCCCATACCATTGTTTGTCTCACACGTACCCTTACCTTGTCTGTCCCCATGGATGCCCTACCATTGTTTCTCTTATACCTACCCATACCATGTCTGTCCCCATGGATGCCCATACCATTGTTTCTCTCATACGTACCCATACCATGTCTGTCCCCATGGATGCCCATACCATTGTTTCTCTTATACTTACCCATACCATGTCTGTCCCCATGGATGCCCATACCATTGTTTCTCTCGTATGTACCCATACCATGTCTGCCCCCATGGATGCGCTTACTGTTGTTTCCCTCATCCGTAACCAATTCTGTCCTCAGAGGTACCTATAGCCTTTGCGTCTCAGCAGGTAGCTATACGATTTCTCTCCTTGTGCAGGTACCTACAATAAATTTTTGATTGTTATTTCAGCCAAGATACTGCTGGTATTCTTACAGTGGAAGGGAGAACATTTCCTGTTGACATCTTCTACAGCATAAAGTAGGTTGGATTCTAGCAAAATAATACACATGCATGATTAAAGTTTAGATGTTTATGTGACTGATTATACAGGTCTAAGAATATCTTATTTGGAGCTTTGGTGAGGACTGTAAAGTGAAGATATCATTACTTTTGATATGATCCCGGTTCTCACGTACAATTTCAGTTTATAGATCCCTTGTTTCCTGTGAAAGAAATTGTTATAATTTGGAAACCACCTATAAATGTATGGCTAAGTAACTTCTTTGTTATAGTGGCGTAACGGTGGTCCAAAGGTCAAAGATCCAAATCCTGTTCTGGCATAATTTTGCCCACCTTCCATCTTGTAGGCCCTGTGAAATTGGGCAAAGGCTATATTATCACTGTGCGTAGGCTCTGTTGCTGGATTGCTTGCACTTTGCGGTCTTGTTCACTGCCTACCTCTCCTGTGTTTTCCACTGCCCCGCCAGCCCGGTACCTGACTATCTAAAGGCCACAGCGGAGACCATTATGAAGCTGCATAAGGCAGAGCCAGCCGGTGACATCCTCGCCTTCGTCACCGGGCAGGAAGAGGTTGAGAGAGTCATGGAAATGGTCCTGTAAGTACCTCCTGGTTCCTGATCCTTTAAGCTAAACTCTCCAGGCAGTGTTTCATGTAGTTACCTTCCAGAGTACGGGAAACATTTTGGGCAAGCAGTTTTTCTTGTGCATATTTATGAACCTCCTGTGGTTAAAGATATAGCTGTAACATTGATGAAAAAAAATCTGTTCAGTAATGATTTGTGTACAAATTAGATATGGGATTCTGATATAGTACCAAGGTAGGAGCAGCAGTCTCAAAAATCTTGCTTGGAGTGGACAGAGTTTTAGTTTTGGCTTGAAAAGGGCAGACATTGTTAGTCCTGGACAAAACTCTGTCTGCGGCCGTTCTCATTTGGAGCCCCACCTGCTAGCACCCAGTTAACATTCAAGTAGTGTTAAACCCTATAAAAAAGTGACATAGACTAGGCTCGGACATCCTCTGTCCTCCCGCAACTTCCAGTGCCTTTTGAAGGATCCAAATTAAAGTGTAAAAATGCTGTAGAACTGTTTGCTTGATTTTTGGAATAGCTGCTGTTCTTGCTTAGAACAACTTGAGACATGTATCCCCCTAAATAGGAATGGTTGTCAAAGTCTCCATGCCGTACTCAGGAACCGCCTATTCCCATCAACCCCTTCACGCCGGGATTCTTTTGACCGTGACTGCTGGGCTGTGGTATTCCCAGTATGCGAAGCTCTGTCCAGTAGCAGGTCCCATTGAACCAGCAGCTGCATGATGAATAGACTGTATGTGTGGTATGCACTAATCCTCACACAAAGCTGCGGCTGTGGATGGCTCCTGGTATGAAGGGGTTAAGAACTCAATGCAAACACACAGCAAATTAACAATGGGAACTCATTTTTTTTCTGACAGGTCAGTTCAAACATGCACGTTCTTACTTCTGTTATGGTGTTTACTGATTGTACGCTTCAACTTAAACATTTTACGATCGCACCAGATGGACAAAGTCCTGAGTACTTTCAGAAAACTGATTTACACGATAGACATTGAGCCAGTTACTCTCAGAAATTATTATTAATCTTAAATCTTAACACCAGAGGCAAACAAGAGGTGTTCGTAAATTTCTTTTTTTCTTCCTCTCGTTTCTTAGACAGGAGATTCGTAGCTTGCAATTTGACCACATGAAGATGTTAGCCCTTCCCATGTACGCCGGCTTGCCCGGCAAAGAGCAGATGCGAGTTTTTGAACGGGTCGGTCGAAATACCAGAAAGGTTGTCATAGCAACCAACATTGCGGAGACATCGATCACAATTAATGGCATTGTCTATGGTAAGTGATTCTATGGCATTGTTTATGGTAGGTGGGTCTATGGGATTGTCTATGGTAAGTGTGTCTATGGCATTGTCTATGGTAGGTGGGACTATGGAATTGTCAATGGTAGGTGGGTCTGTGGGATTTTCTATGGTAGGTGGGCCTATGGCATTGTCTATGGTAGGTGGGACTATGGAATTGTCTATGGCAGGTGGGTCTGTGGGATTTTCTATGGTAGGTGGGCCTATGGCATTGTCTATGGTAGGTGGGTCTGTGGGATTGTCTATGACAAGTTTCATGCCTGATTGGAATACATGTATGTGAATGTTTTTACAAAAAATTTGTATCATTTGGCTTGCATACTTAGAGATAGAGTATTGTTATTTATTTTTTTCAGAGCGATGGCATGTTAGAAAATTTGAAGTCTAGTATCATAACTCTCTTTAAAGCAAGTTTAATCTTTAGTAATGAATTTGGTTTGTTGATTTTTTGGATGGCTGAAAGTGATGCTGTCTTCCTTTAATATATTCAGTGCTGAAGGGATTATGAACTGACAGCAGACTCCACAAGGTGCACAAGATTGATTCGTACCAGGATCACAAAAGTTGGAAGACAAGAAAAATTACCGCCACACCAGTCTCACAATCATCTCCTGTGTTTCATTTTGCTTTTTTGCACACACAGTGATTGACAGTGGCTTTGTCAAGCTGCGGGCCTACAACTCTAAGCCGGGCCTGTCGGGACTGGTTGTGGTGCCTGTGTCACAAGCCTCTGCCCAGCAGCGGGCCGGGAGGGCAGGTCGAGTCAGGTCAGGTCAGGCCTACAGACTGTACACGGAGGAGGACTATCAGGCTCTGAGGAAGACCACCGTTCCAGAGATGCAGAGGTAAGGACTGGGGCGGGTAGGATTGTAAGGAACAGAATCCAGAAAGGAGAGTAGCTTTCAAAGGTCCGGAGCATGAGTTTTCTTCAATAAACTGTTTTCATTGTAGCAGTTTCATTCTTTTCTTCAATGCATGAAAATGATTTGACATCTTTCTGGGATTAAGTGCATTGAAAAGAGCTCTTTTTATAAGGGAATGAATACGTGCTCGGCCGGTCTTAAACGTTAGTTGGACTTATCGAGTGCCTGGCGAGCTGTGTACACACAGACTCTTGACCAATCAGAATCGATTCAACTGTCTCGTATCCAGGTGCTAGCGTATGAGTTACATCGCGGGCATTATTACTTCTCAGCAGGCATTATGAAATGTTCATACGTGGTCAAGTGGCACGTTATTCAATAGGGAGACTGTCGGAGGTATTTATGAATAAACGTTTAAATACGTTCATGCTTTTCTGGATAGGAATAGGGAATGAATGTTCAGTTTGTATGTTTTTCTGTTCAGATTGGGAACCTACAAGTTGCTCATTGGCAACATTTCTGAGAAAGGGTTGCTTGTTGGCTTAATTGAGGGATTTTACATTAGCGCCGTTTGGGCATATCCACATCGAAACCGAGGCTCCCAGTGTTGAACTTGGTCGCGCACACCTGTGTAGTCGACACAGTACACGCAGTATCCGGTTTGTAAGTGTGGCGCCACTTCAGTTTAAACCATGCCCACTGCATATGCAGCTACACGACCATCGCCGATACATTAGTTCGCGGTAAATTGCCGTTATTTCCTCTTTTGATTTCACGTGTCGAGTCACCCTGAAACACTCTTCCACAAAAATTTGCAGCCTGAAAAGTCTGAATTTAAAATACCTTTATGTATTTTGTGTGTTGACTCTTTATTAAGAATTGAAGCTGACACATATAGCCTCGTTTTCAAATGCGGAAGTGTGCAGATCGACGCAAAAAGTGTCGTATTGGGATCCCTCTATTGTCATGCACTTACACAGCAATGAATCACCACAGAAAAGGAAATCCGGGACAGCAAAATGTACAAAATTCTAGCAAATTTGGTGGACAAACCAATGCAACATTCTTTTTTCTCCCTATGATGATGTGGCAGTTTTGCTCATGAATATGGAAATTTGCTCGTGCATAAAACATAAAAGGCATAAAAAAACCTTGAAAAGTGCAAAAACATATTTGAAACCCAAAGAAGCCTTGTGAAGTTTTTAATTAAAAATTTAGAAGCAGACAAACAACAGCGTGATTGAGCAATAAAACTGAGCAATGTTCAAAGACCCAACACTGAGACTATACGTTCTGGCCAATCATCAGTCCTGTTGAGTATGATGTCATAGACTGGCAGAGAGATTGTTGGAGTGAGAGGAGGTGTGCCTTCACTGCGCTTGTGATTCTTCCGTGAGGCACCATTGCTCTTGTGGAAAGCCATTAGCATAATTATTTGCATATCTCGCAAGTTTCTGCCTTGGGTGTGAATTTGACAGTGTCATTTGGCATACCGCTTTCTTTCACCACTGTCCATCGTAACTTATTTGTGTTAATAGACCCTAACATTTCTTGCAGCAGAAAGTAATTTATTCAGTAATTCACTCTGCCTTTTTTTTTTCATTAGGAGCGACCTGAGTGCCGTCATTCTCCAGCTAAAGTGCCTGGGCATCGATAACGTCTTGCGCTTCAGTTTCCTCTCGCCTCCATCATCCCGAGCCATGCTAAGGGGCCTGGACCTCCTGTACGCCCTGGGAGGTATCGACGATCACGCCAAGCTGGCCCAGCCCCTGGGTATCCGCATGGCCGAGTTTCCCTTGGACCCCATGTTTGCCAAGATGCTTCTTGTATCAGGTATGGTTAACAGGCATCATAAGACCGAGACAGAACAAGTAGTCCGATGTTAGAATATTCGAACTCCCATTTGATTCAATAGTGAGTTTTACCAAATCCCTGAAAAACAGAATCAAAAAATGGTCCTGTGTTTGTAGTGGTCTACCCTGTTGAGTTTCAGGCCCTACAGGGGTCTGTCACATTATTAAAGGAAGAGGCTTGGAGTCTAACTGATGTAAGTCGTAATCAGTAATTTTTTCTTGCCGTCCAAGTGAGATCACACATTGCATAAAGCGAAAGAAAAAAACAAAACAAAACTGGAAGGGGACAGGTTTTGACTAACTGTTGGTGTATGCATTAGTTACCTTTGAGTGTACCCGTAACACCTCAAGACATGCTTTTAGAAAGCAGTTTTGCAAATGAATAATTTTATTATGGTCCTTTTTATTTCATAGACATTTCCCTACGAATATTCAGTTTCGAAAACATTATTCAAATACTTTATCACTGTTCATTGGACAACTCCATTCCAATTCTTGGACTATACAAACAATAAACAGCCTTCATTTTGTTTAGTAGCCAGTCAACATTTTTAATATGTTTCCAAAGTCCAGACCTGTTACAACTTGGAATGTTGGGTTTTGCTTTTCACAGTCATAATTTCACCAGATTCTCTGTTTTTGAGAGCCTATGAGGAATGTATGCACATTCTGTGGTGGTTTTCACTGCATCTTAAGTTGCAGATGCTTACTTTAACGTAAAGAAAGGCCTCCTGAGCTGCTGTCATTTTTTTTTAACAATCTTCTTTCACTGGTGCATTCAAGGTGAGTTTGGTTGCTCGGAGGAGATCCTTAGCATAGCTGCCATGCAACAAATTCAGAACATCTTCCAGTCACCTTCCAATGAAAAGGGCAAAGCTGTAAGTAGGGGTAGTTTTTCGTTTTCAAATTAACCCCGAATCCCTGGCTAAACCAACCTCAACCCCAGTGCCCCAGTCCCTCATCCCCATTCAGCAATCACCCATCTTCCAGTCCCCAATCTAGAAACCATTTCAGCATCCAAATAGCGTCTCCCATTTTGGTGGAAAACATTCTTTTATCAGCCCCATTCATGCTTAAGGACTCCTAAACGTGATCTGGCTCGCTCTACGCACGTGCAAAGCTGACGGGTTGAAACGTCAAGCGCGCCTCGACTCACTTTCACCTGACAGGCTGATCCCTCATTTCTTGGCACAAACTCATACAGCGGGGAAAATCTTGTGAATGCCGACTGTGTGTTGAACTTTATGAAACAAATCCTCACTTCCAATGGTACATCCACCATCTACAAATAAGGGGGGGTGGTTAAAATTGAGATCAATTCAGTCAGAGATTGGAGATCCAACTACAACTAACAAATGTTGAAATACTTGGTTTTCCTATTTTCAAATAGTTTTGAATTGAAGCAGCATTGAGCAAAGTCCTTAATAACAATTACTGAACAAAACTACTTTAAGGATGTGTCACAACACCCCCACCTGCCTTATGTCACATTATAGACCAGGGAACACATTGCAGTCTGCATGTCTGATCTATACACTGTCTGTATTAAAATGATATGGTATTGATCAAGGTTTAATCATGTCATGATGGTATCGTACTGGAGTACCTGTTGTTTTTAATATCTCTTTGCAGGAGCGGGCCAAGAGGAAGTTTTCGGTTGCCGAGGGAGACCATATCACTCTGTTGAATGTCTATGAGGCTTTCATTAAGGTACAAGAAGTCATGCTTGCCTCTCATCCAGAAGAACCTAGCATGCCATTTGGCTATGCGTCAGTTGTTATGAATCTGTCATTCCTCGTCTATGTTCAGTGTTAGAATTCACAGACTCATGTCAAACCTATCAATGATTTCATCCCCTTGTTTTATTTCAGTCTGGCAAGAATTCAAGGTGGTGCCACGAAAACTATCTGAACTATAAAGGTAAGGAAAGAAACAAGCAGCATGCAAAATGTGGCACTGCAGAGTAGTTGGAGAGACAACATGTTGAACTGTTTCCATCTATGCCAAACGAGCTTAAGGTTTCTGTTGAACTTGCTCAAGTGCTCTGGTTATTATAAAGCGATAAGCAAAGTTTTAAACAAAACTTTTAAGTTAACAAAAGTTTTACAAGTCATTTGAATGTCATTTGTCTAGTCAGAAGTCTGATCAATGATCCGATTAGGGATGAACAGTGTTGAACCTTGGTATTGGTGCTTATTATTTTAGACAGTAACTTTGATTGGTACATGTACATGTATGTATTTCAAGGATGGATTTGTGCCAGGGAGATGTAAATTAATTTTGGATATTTTGCCCTGCATGACTTGTATTTTAACACTATACTCAGCGTATGCCCCTGAAAGCTTGTGAAACAAACCACTAGCTTACTCGGGTGGGACTCGAACCCACAACTTCCTGCTTACTAGTGCAGACGTCTTAACCACTCAATCACCGAGCTTGCCAGTATCGGCTGGCTGCTTTGAATCAGATGTAGCATTAATCCAAATCAATTTACATCTCCCTGGCGCAAATCCATCCTTGATATAGTTGTTCGCGGTACCTGCTGCTACATCTGATTCGAACCAGCCAGCCGAAACCGGCAAGCTCGGTGGCTGAGTGGTAAGACGTCTGCACTAGTGAGCAGGAGGTTATGGGTTCGAGTCCCACCGGAGTATGCTTGTGGTTTTTTTACAAGCCTTCAGGGGCATACACTGAGTACACAGTGTTAAATACACGTTGGGCAGGGCAAAAAATCCAACATTAATTTACATGTATGTAATTGATTGGTGGTTACTATTTCTGATTATGGTGCTCTAAATAAATCCCAATCTATGTGATTTTTATCAGCTGATTGGCTGTCTGCCAAAATGGTGTACTTAAACGATCAGTTACATCATAAGTCATATGAACAAAGATTCCCTATACCTTTCTGCCAGGTACATGCCGACCGGTGTGCATCTTTCCCACTCAACTTTTCTTTAACAACTCTCTGCCATCTTCCAGGTCTGTGCAGGGCACTCACTGTCCGGGAGCAGCTCAGAAAGTTACTGAAGAAATTCAAGGTGAAGATGGTGTCGAGCGAGGGCGATGTTGACACCATCGTCCGCTGTGTCGTTGCAGGTTTCTTTGCCAATGCGGCCAGATTTCATCCAACTGGAGAGTACCGTACGATTCGTGATGACCACGCAATCCACATACATCCAACCTCGGTCTTGTACACCGAAAAGCCTCCTCAGTGGTTAGTGACAAGATTTTTGTATTTTTAATTTAGACTTTTAAGTAGAATTAATGTGTAGTAATTTTGTGCGAGGTTTAACAGAGAGATTTGTAGGTAGTCTTTTAAGTTAATTATGTCTAAAAGTTGTGTTTGCGGCTGGAATTAATATTTGCTCTCATGGAGGTTACCAGCTAGTGGCTAACTTCACTTATCATAGAGTATCACCCCTGGCTGCAGTTACTTGATTCGGACATTGCTTTTGCTTCCCCCAACCAAGCAATCACCTGGTCTATGGTACGGTTTGAGACCAATTGTGCCCCTCCCGTTAAGGGGCTCTCTAGATCTTTAACGGAAGGATTTAATTTGACGCAGAATGAGATTTTGTTCCCCCCAACAACTTTTTAACAGTTCTACCTTAGCCTGGGCTTCCTTTAGTTGTTAATGACAACAATCAACTGCAAGATGACCTCATTTCTTACGATGGTGACAGAACTTAGTAACTCGTACCTTCTTGGGTGAATTTACATTCACCTGTTGACCTTGACCCTTGGGCTGAGGAGTTGGAGGAGGGGGATGATTTGTTGCCGATAAGCCATTTGCGAGTTAAATTTGAATAAAATCTGGTACACTGAGTTATCTGATTGCACACGAACATAACAATTTGAATTCCTCAGACTAAAGACACTGTTGCTATACCTAGTGATTCAGGGCAAGCTTTTGCTTAGCGACCAACATCTCTGGAATGGACTGGTTCCTTTGTGCCCTTCTTTTCCATTGAGAACAGTGTATTGTTGCAAGGCGTCTCTTATATAACGAAGTTATGTTCACGTGAATTTAAAGAACTCAGTTTACCAGATTTTATTCAAATTTAACTTGCAAAAGGCTTATTGAAGGACCTGTTCAATCTGTCTGCTGGGCTAGCATTCTTTGAGCGGTTGCTTTATGTTATCAAGCTCATGCACAACAGAAGGACGACCGACACTTAAAGCTTCGTGAATTTCAGCCTTCTCTTTGGCCTATCTCGAATCATCTTCCTCCGCCCAATCCATAGCTTCTTTCCTTAAGTGTAAAAAGGAAATACCAGAATGATCATGCAACTCCTTCAAATGTTGTTTGAGTGAAGCATCACACAGGCCCTGGGCAAACTCTTCACACAGGAGTCTGTCCTGTGATTGTTTCAGGTATGGACACTTCCCTATAGCCTTGTTTAAAGCCTCCATCAGTCTATGGGAGTACTCTCTCAATCTGTCCCCATCTTTTTGCCTAGATTCAAAGAACAACCTCTTTTAATGGACTCCGGTAGACTTGACTCCAAATACATTTGTATATGAATATGTCATTTCACCAGTACTGTGCCAGACTTCCAGTGACTATGGGGCTGTGTGGACATCCGGGATTCTCGCAAAATGGCAGGTACTGCGCCGGTGAAAACAGCGACCATGGTGACGTACGCATGCACCAGCCAGTCCGAGGATCAGGTTACACAATTTTGTCTTCGATCAATACGTACGCCCCTGCTCGTTGCAGTTGTTTTCATTGGCGCGGTGTCGTTGCTACACATTCAATTTTGTGAGACTCCCAGATGTCCGCACTGCCCCATTGGCTACATGTACTCGAGCCACGTCCCAGTAGAGACCAAATGACGAGCCAAAATTTAACAGGCTGGTGCATTGAGCAGAGATGGGAGAAAGAATGGCACTGGTCATTCCTTGCTTGCTCAGTACAATTAGAGGAATGCATTGTACTGCGGAGTGGGAACACCTGTTTTAGATCAGGGCCCAATTTTATAGAGCTGCTTAAGCACAAACTTTGCTTAAGTGCAAAAAATCTTGCTTGATAAATCGGGTAACCGGCCAAAACTCCATGTGATGTATATTGTTTTGGAATAGTATTTAGCTGTCTTTTGGTTAGCATGACAATCACATAGAGTTTGAGCTGGTAACCCTTGTTTTTTGAAGCAAGGTTTTTTGCGCTTAAGCTGGTTTTGTGCTTAAGCAGCTCTGTGAAATTGGCCCCTATGTGATGCAGTGAGATGTTACGCCATAGACTTGCTACAGGCAACTGGTTACAATAATATCTCATATCATCTGACACCAGGGGCTGCTGCTAAAGGCTGACAAGACCAGACACCATGGAACGTTTGGGTGCACCATTCAAGGTGGCCTCTTTTTCATAAAAGAGTACTCAATTTTCCAAGAAGCCCAACAGCCGTTGAAGGAAGTGGCCCCTCTCCTACAACGCCTTTAGCAACATTCAGTCGTAGAACAGCAGTGCCTCAAAGTACCAATCAATATTGGCCTTGATTCATACAGGTTGTATAAAATGTGCCTTATCAACCTGCTTGTCTCTATCTCAATCCCCCGCTCACCCCCCCTTCCCCCCATCTAGGGTTGTATTCCATGAGGTTCTCCAGACCAACAGAGATTACATGAGAGACGTGACTGTCATAGACCCCACCTGGTTGTACGAGCTAGCTCCCCACTATTATCAGTACGGCACGGTCAGTATAGATGTAATGCATTCAAACTACTTTGTAAGACCTCGTCCACAGATTCTGTATCTTGATTGGCTGAGAACTAATCACATGGCATTTATTTCAAATCTAAGTTCGAACATTTTACAAAGAGGAAATTTTGGAAAGTGTTAACAAATTTCATTTTCATAATAGAAACACCTTATTGTGTTTAAATTAATCAGGTATCTCTGAAATCAAGCAGAATGTGTGGGAAAGTGTTATAAAAAAATTATTGAATGGTTTATGTCGTGGTGTTATGTGGTAAAAACGGCCTCCTCTAGTGACCCCTATGGAGTATTCTAAAAATAGAATGCTTTATGAAAAAAGGGGGCTAGTTTCACTGTACCACTTGAAGCAGCCAATGTTAGCATTATACGCTACAGCAGCAGGGAGTCACAAGAAAAGGCCCAGGGTTTGGACGGGATAAAGATTGTAAACTCAAAGGTCCTTTGGCCTGAGTTCGGCTTGACTACGATTTTATATGCTTTGCAGTCTTCTGGCTTTGTGTTGCATGCTACACTTTTGACCCGATGGGTCTTCAGCCATACCTGTCTCGATTCCACCAAATGTCCCGCTGGGTTTGATGGAATTTGATGGGTCCCGGCCTTGAGAGGCCAGTGCAATGTGGGGTTTTGTCTGTTTATTCACTTTTACACAGTTTTCAGGGGCAGATCTAAAAATTTGTTATCAAAAAAGGATTCAGATTTGAGTAAACAAAGAATTACTTGGATGACATGCATTTCTTTGATTTTTGGAACATCTGTCTCATTGTGAAAGAGTTTTCCAAGATTTCACAGCAAGAAATGCCTTTATTTCGACGGAAAGTATCAATACATGATACATATCTTTTTTCCCCCACCCTGCGGTGTGTTGAAATAGGACATGGAGATTGCAGCCAAGCGAGCAAGGGTGGAAGACATGTCGAGGTGACACCGTCAGAATTCTCATCTGTCCTCCTCAAAAATACTGGCATTTTCCCCGCTCACCGGCACAGACACCAATTGAGCTGATGGTGAGACACTGCAGAGAGAAGTTCCCTACTGTTTCCCAGAGATCCCCCTGAATTTGTGACCATTGTGAGAAGTCATTAACCCTAACACTCCTCAGTCCTTCAACAGGTGAAGGATTGAGGAGGGTTAGGGTTAATCTCTGCTTGTTCAAAACCTGACAGCCGTGAGGGTGAAACATCATACATCAGTAATCACTAAATAAATGCTCTCATATCAGAGAAATTCACTGGCTGGAGGCTTCAGGGAAATGACTTCAGAATATAATTTTCACCTCTAATTTGTACAATATCGCAAGAGCTTGGAGGCTCTGTGTGATCCCCTCAACTGTGAGTGAAGAAATGTAATTTTCTGAGTGGGATTATCAAACTTCAAACTATGGACTGTGGCATCAAGAGAGATGTACATCTGTGCTAATCTTCCACAGAAGTGATCAATGTTACTTGATTATTGTCAATTGGGAAAGTTTATGTGCATGTGGTTTGAACCCTCAACTTGGAGACAAATTTAAACAAAACTGGAAATGTACAAAAAAAATGTCCCTGGCAATCCTGTTTTTAATAAATATGACACATTTGGTCACTTATGCATAAATGTAATAAAATTGAGATATGTGGTGATCTGGAGTGGTTTTTATGATGATGCTCAAGGAGCAGTGGCTCAACCAATATTTTCGAGAAGTCTCCATTACTGGCCACCATTACCAGTGCAGTCAAATTTGTGTTGTGCCCATAGTGATGAATACAAGTGTTGGTACTGAACGTTTGCGTGTACTATTTGCCCCATAGTTTTGGCCACACTCCTGGTATCACATGCCGTTGCAATTGTAGGCAATTCCAATCAAAGTCTTTGTCTTGTGGAGTTCCTCGCATGGATGCCGTCCTTGCAAACTTGGCTTTGCATACGGTTGCAGTGGTTCAGCCCTGTTTGGCATTTTGGGAGACAATGTTCATTTTGATCTCCGATCAGTGGTGTACTCACACGTCTGTTCTGAGATGAGAGGAATGTCATCCTCATGTAACAGATGTCAGTGGAAATTTGTAGAGAATCAGGTCAGCTTACAATCCATCCCATGGGCCCTACGCGGAAAAACAGCAGGTTCCAAATGGGCGGAGTTGACTCTGACAGTAATACATGTATTACTAATTGTCCAAATTTAAGACCCAGGGGACGGGGCTAAACAGGGGCATCATCCAACTGATAAGCTAGGAACAAAGTTCAGACCCATTTGTATAAATCTCTGCCCGTATGGGGCGTGTGCATACAAAAACTTTGCGCCCAGTCTGTTTGGATGTGCATATACTTTGTATGTAGAGGTGTGCATTGCAAATTCCTGGCCCGATCATGTGACGTAGGCTGACATAATGATGTAATTCTAAAAGCTGTTTTTTGCAGCATGATCAGTGTGAAGTTTGTTGTCAAAAGGATACCTTTTAAAACTACAGAAGTGAGGTAATGATGACATCACTTCTCGGATTATTCTCTATAGGTTCAAAGTAAAATTGGAACCACAGTTCAAGCAGTCAGGAAAATCAAAATGTCAAGAAAGGAAAACTATAAAAGAATAAACATATTGGAATAATTACAATGAAATAAAACTTACAAAATGCAGGAAAAAATTCAAGAGTATCTTGTGAGTAACTCACAATAGAACCATAATTCATGGTTTGGCAATGAACATGTACGTTCCTAAAGCATTCAAATTGCGAAAACAGATTTTGCACCTGTGCACATAATTTCTTGTTTTGTTAATGATCAATTTGTTACTAAAAAGAAAACTTCATAAAGCATTGCACTGTTGTAATTTCATTAATAATAGCAAAAATTGCATCGCAAGTTGATTAAGACAAAGGAAATTATAGGGAAATAGTCTCTGGCATTAGCTTTTCTGCAGCTAAGCAGGTTTGCTTTACACCTTTGACCAATGGCTGCTTAGCTGACCACAAAGCAGCCCCACCAGAACAGATTTAAAACAACAAAAACAAAAACATGAAAACAAACATAAACCCATGGGCGTAAATCCCAGGGGATGGGGGGATATATATTCCCACTTTTTTTTGGGGGGGGTGGGCTACTGAATTATCCCCACATTTCTGTGGTGAGCAAAAAATTAGAGCAGATTTTGAAGAATTCTTCAGACATCCACCGACTAAAATGCATTAAATATCACTCAGAGAAAACAAATTTGAAAAGTCATAAATATGCCATTCTGAATAAATATTACAGATGTACATCAATAGAATGAGCATCAACCTCTTTATAGTGTCATATAGTGTCACAGTCTGCCCCCACCCTGTTTTCAAATGTCTGTGGTCGGGAAAGTCACACCCCCCACCTTTCCCATCCCCCATCCCCAAACTTTCAGGCACAAATTTACGTCACTGCATAAACCGAACAAGCAAAGCTAGAAGGAAAACGTCCAACGTCTTGATTTCTCAATTGATATTTAAATGACATCAATCTTGAGGGTTTTTTCCCACAATCGCATGATAAACCCAGCAAAACATGACAACCCAAAAATGGCAGTGGGCTATGATCGTATATTATTAAGAAGGCTAAAACTAGCGAACGTTTGGTTTTATCAAATTAAAAAAGAAAGAGCGAGCATATAGAACATTTTGCAGTGTATTTTCCATCTTACTCATCTGATACAGCAGAAGCTGAAATATAACGCAGGTTGAGCATTTTTCCCCAATGATTTTTTGTTCCTTTCCTGTATACTCCCCAACCCCTTCCACCGTGTATTTTGCAGAATATGTTCGTGCACGCACATGTACATGTAGTTATCAGTTTATGCATTTTCCACTGCCATGTCATAGGGACATTATACACACGCGTACATAAAAAAAATGCACAAAGCAACGACTCTTGTTCTGAATGTACACGTAGGGCCTACTTTGTCAGGCTAGACGCACAAGGTGAAGCGGACTCGTTTCAACTCAGAAATGGCGTCCTATAGGGATGACATTGTCATTCATGTACACGTAGGGCCTACTTTGTCAGGCTAGACGCACAAGGTGAAGCGGACTCGTTTCAACTCAGAAATGGCGTCCTATAGGGATGACATTGTCATTCACCATTATCATACTATGATCGATTGTAATTAATTTGAACGCTGGGTCGACCCTGTAATCACAGTATAATACGTATTTTTGGCGTGACCCGTGGCTGGCATGTTTAGGGTTGGTTTGTATGTTTTCGTTTGTTTTGTTCCTTTTTGAAAAAAAAACACATGCAAGGCCAGTCCCTGTGCAAAGCAGAAGCCCCGCCCACTTTGAGGGACCTACTGCATTCATTATGATGTGGACATTGTGATGCGCAGTTTGTTTTCCGTTCCTGTTCAGAACCAGAAATCACTCGATGAGATCCAAAGTGCATTCATAAACAGATATCTGTTTGCAGTTACAGGTGCATGTAATTACCGATAATTGCCAGCAATATTTCAACTACCTTTCAGATAGCCTTTGGGCCAGAAGTTTCATCCAACGTTTTAATTAATATCGCCTAATTGGGATCACACAAAATTTAATAATATTTATTTCCTTGTTTAAGGCATGAAAATACTGAATTTCCAGAGCAACTGACGTCATTGTATTCTGGAGGAAATGAAAAAAATTAAATGAGAAAATGTGTGGATTAAATGCAAAAACAAATGAGGTATAGACAGAAAATATGATTAGCTTAACAAATCTAGTCCTACAAATTTTGTTTGGTAATATTATGCTTCTTTTTAAATAATAGATGGGAAAAAATGTCTGTCCTCGGACTCAAAACCTGCACACGCTACTGGTGTGATGTCTGTTGCGCAAACCAAACTTCAAGGGGAAAAAGGAATCAAACCTGAAGAGTTCAGTAGATCAAACTGTTTTCCATTTTTGTGGCAACCACAAAGCCAGAGACCCATCGACTGGTGATGAATTCAAAAGGACGAAGTATTTAAAGAAAAAAAGGTTCTTTTGATTATTCTCTTGAAATAAGTTGTATTAGAAGGACTAAACCATAAGGAGAAGGTTGGATTCGGTATAGTTAAGGTTATTTCTGTTTAAGGCGCGCACTGCATACTCTCATCTTGTGTGGCACAGAGTAAAAGATTTGATTGAGTGCCCCTTTAAGATAGCAGGGCGTGGCCAAGAAGAGAACCGTGCTCTAGCCTGCCTGCTGCAAAGCAGCGTCAACCTTACAAGCCACCCTGTACATATACATTATACATGTGTTCGGGTATAATAATGAATGCATCTCGACGAACGACGCCCGGCAGCGAAACATCGCCCCATACAGCTTGCCGGACTTCTGTATTCTGGTATTAAGTGTGAGCCTTCTGGACCAAAGATATCTTTTGGCGAAAAATTTTCACTTAGAAGACTGACAGGGAATTAGTGGCCGACATCATCACGACATGGCAAATCCTCGTGGAGTCATTGCTGGGATTCTAATGCTTCTCGTTGGAGCTGGGAACGCCTATAGTACGTAAGGGGAATACTAAACCATTTCTTCTCTGAAATCGAATTTTCTTTATGTATCAGTTATGTATTATCATGATAATTCTTTTTAATGTCTAGCAACATTGAGAAAATATGTGAGTGACGCCCTAGTGGTTTCTCACTCTTCATAAGATGTTTGGCCAAGAACGGCTGATGTAATTATACTATTCATGAAAATATTGTTTGAAAAAGAAATTCATCGTGAACGGAGGTAGAAAAATGCCTCCACTCTCCAGAGATGCATTTAAGCAGGGGAGTGGCTCCTCATTGCCTAAGAATAAAACATATTCATTTAAGGCGACTCCGTAATGCATGCTGTAATAGTCCTGCGTCCTGACAACAGGCAGATCTTTCACGTTAGGTATCTCAGAGCGTACAAGAAGAGGCGAATACTTCCAAACACATTGGCTATGAGGTAGTGAATGGATTCCGTGTAGGCAGCCTGATGGAGTTCTTGTGTTTATTTGAATGAAAATAGAATCCCAATAACTGACATGCTTTCACTTAAGAAAAACGGCACTTTGAATGGCTAATTTCATAGGAAAATTGGTCAGCTTTAGAGTCAACATATTAAACATAGGCCTAATTATTATTTAAAACCCAAATTTTTTTCCAATCAAAATGTCTGACACCGCGACGGTGTTTTACAATGTATTTAATAAATAACAGGTTTAATCGCTCATAGCAGGCATAATGCTCGGTTCCCTCCTCCATTATGTGACAGAGAAAAAGTGATGTATATAAGGCCAGCCCATGGACACGAGCAATTCGCACAATGCAGATCAGAAAACAAAAAATAAACAGCGCAATGTCTGTCGCGTTATCTCGCTAAAACAATATGTTAATGTTGTTCATGTATCTCCGCACATGACTTTATATATCGCCTCTGCTGTATGCAGTATCCATTATTACATCATTTAAGAGAATCTTTCTTTTGATATTTTAGGGAAAACTTATTTGATTCGTTGACGCTTTGTGCTTGCATTCTGAGAACCTTTGATTGAAAATGTACGCACATTTTTTGTCTTTCAAAACAGAAAGACAACATCACTCACCAATGACTCAACACATCATGCTAGTGCTACGCATCAGAATGGCGAGCGTGCTTTCAAATACAAAATGATGACATCATTCTTTCCAAGCTCGATCAAATCTTGCTAGAGGCAGGCGAAAAAATACTATGTGAATTTAAAAACCAAGATTATCACTCCCAGAGGCATATCGTTGACTTGCTAGTCTGATCGAAAGGCATTACTGATTTGAACCCTGAACTAACTGGTGAATTTGAATGGTTTGTTTGAAAGAAATTGTACTTGAATTATAAGAAAACACATTCGATGGATTTTGCTGATCAAACGGTAGATAAAACATTAAAATTCGTTTTAACAATAACCTCATTGAAAAGGTCGATTCTTGTCAATTCCTGGGCGTCATTGTAGATGATACTTAGACATGGAAAATTATTGCCAGAAAGTTATTTCTCTCAACCTTGGCGTTCTTAAAAGACTTTGATATTTTGCCCCATCCCGTATTACGTTTTCCTTGCCTCACCTTCAATATACTACACTTCCTACAGATAGAACTTACCTTGAAAAAGTGCTCGTGATTCAGCAATGGCTGTGGATTTCAAGATCATCTGAACCAGTTATCTAATAAATTCAACACTTTATCTGTATATGATCATTATAAATATCACTTGTGTATTCTAATGGGTAATTTTGAAAAAAAAAACCCACAGTTATCTGCCTCTGAATATAAAATGTTATAATGTAAGGAACACTGACACCCATGATTATAACACAATGTCAACAAACAGGCTTAGTAAAGTTAGAACTTCCTTTCAACTGTTTACGTACACCTGGGACCCTAGTCTTCGTCAAGACGTTGTTGTGTTGTTGATACACGAGAGGGCGCTCACAAAACGAGTTGCTGGAACGCACGAACCACAACTAGTCACGCCAACAACGTAACGTTTTGAGAATTAATTTGCCAGTTGATGAGTCTTAATAACAGACGAGGAGCAGACAAACACCCCGACACACTTCGGAGAAAACTAAGTGGAAATCTAAACTAAAACATTGTATTTTTAGAGAGGAATTACGCCTAAAAACAATAATAATAATTAAAAAAAACGCATGAAAGCTCCATATTTGGGGAAAATCGGGGGAAAATAATTCTGTAGTCTACCCCAGGGTTCCCTTACTTTTTTATTTAGATGAACGAGTGACAATACCTTAAATTTGGTTTCACACATGGCAGGCGGTTGCAAGGATTTTTCCCCTTATTTTTTTTTGGGGGGGGCACTCAACAGCAGAAAACTGACAAACTATGAGCGATCGGGAGGTGAGAATTCTAGGGAGGGGCTCTCAGCACTTGTCACCTTTTTAGTTTCATTTCTTTCTCTTCCTTTTAATGCTCCCGCCCCATGGCCTCACATTGTAATGCCTTTGCATTCTTCTCTTGACTTGTCGATACATAATGCAAGATCCAAAGTCAACTGTTCACTGCACCGTATGTACCCATGAGTCAGACAGGTTTATATGCATTCAGTTTCCTTTTTTTTTCGCATATGCTCATGAATTGCTATTGTCATCCTTGAACTACAGCAGAGCACATGAGCGAACAGTGCGGTGGAACCATCAATGCTGGCCGCTCGGGGGGCAATCTGGACTCCCAGTCTCGTGTATACTACGATAATAACGTGAATTGCACGGTCGTTATCACAGCCGACATCGGTCGACAGATCTTACTCACCTTCAGTACGGTCGACATCAAGGGCGGACAGGGTTGTAAGGAGGACTACCTGCAGGTCTATGAGGGAAAGTCAGTTGACGTCTCTTCGACTCTAAGGGTGATTTGTGGCAACGATGACGCGGATATTGTTTCTTCAACAAATGCCGTTACTTTGAAGTTCAAGACCGATTCATCCTCAAAAGGAAAAGGTTTTTACACCACTTACACATCCTTCAAGAGAATCGAGGACTTTAGTAAGTTCACCACTAAAAGACTTGTATTAATGCTGAAGTGTCTCATAAACTGACCTCGACTGTTTCTGAATTTTAACTCCCGAATAACCCTGTCGCTCAGAATCGTTAGCCACGTGGTGTTGCATATTTCCCAACTTTTCTCAATCAAAACAACTTCAGAAGTCGTTTACCGACCCAAACAATTTGGCCAGTCCCAGCTCTCCTTGCTCATTAAAATAGTAAATCTTAACGCCTTGGTTTCTCGATTCTTTTCAGTGTCCTGTGATTCGGACGAATTTGAGTGCAACAATAAACGTTGCATTGACAAAAACCTCAAAAACAACAACTTCGATAACTGCGGTGACTATAGTGATGAAGACCTTGTCAGTAAGTATTATTTACATTGGGCGTAAAGTCTTACATGTACTCCGCCTTTTCTTGGTTTAATTAACATTAATAAACATTATCAATAAAGCCAAGATTAATAAGGGAATAAATCGTCATCGTTTTCACGAAGAACCACGCATGTCGAAGGTAGCATGTTTTGGATTTCAATTACATACATATTGTTAGGGGCCAAAATGTCGATACGTCACAGAGTACGTCAAGAAGATTATCGTTTTCACGAAGAACCACACATCTTTGTCACAATGTAACAGTTCCGCGCGGGAACACGTGTGCCCCTTCCTTCTGGAAGAATAAACTGCACAAAAGGTTTAAAAACTAGTAAAACAGGGATTTTCAATTTCACGAACAGGAACACATCTTCACTAATTGCTTTCAGCTAATAAACCACTGAGTTCATTTCAATTTCTTGGTTCAGGAAAAAGTTTCTCTCAAAGAGTCATTTGAGGTTTTCGCACTGCCTAGACTCGTTCCATATTAGTATTTTTGAAAGCGAAGAAGCTTCTCGGACGATTTCTCGAAAACCAGTTTTTATTCAAAATCCACATGTGTGGCCCTTTACGAAATTATGTGTGACTGCCGAGCCGCAGCAAGAGCATTATCAGCGTTCAGTCTCCTGAGCCAGTGTTAAACTTCAGTTTAAGACAGGTCCAGCATTATTCTCATTGATATAACATCCTTTTGGTCAGAGAGTCAAAAGAAGTAAGTATATGATGGATTTCTGTTCTAGAATTTTACTCTCCTTGTCCCAAACATCCCCGTCCGTTGTCCAATTAACGCGCGCGGGGCGAGCCGCTTCCACACAGACTATTGACCAATCAGAATCGATTAGTCTTGTAGCCAGGTGCCAGCCAGCGCATGAGTTACTCTGCGGGCATTATCAATTCTCAGCGGGCAGTATTATCATACAAATATAACATAGTTTGCTTTGGCTTCGCCTAGGGAACTAGTTTGTCAACTCCCAATCCCTTGGGGAGCTAACATCGACTGTCTAACGGAAGTAAACCATGTTATATTTGTTTTACTATACCACATACATATGTTATTTAATAACCGCTAAAAATAAAAACGTTATCATTAATTTGGGTCCCCGAATTTTTTATTTTCTTCCGAAGATCGAAACACGAACACTTCATTTCTTTCGATTTACATCGGTTTATTTTACATACAAGAATGCATGCAGATGAAACCAGTACACCCGGGCGACAGTTCCTAGATTTTCTGCTACTGCACATGCGTTTTTAACTGTCGCCCAGGTAAGCCGGGCGACAGTTTAAAACGCATGCGTATTTACTCCTTCCGTGAACGATCGCATGTACGCTTGACAAACAGCAAAATAGCTGCTGGTGCGGGCCCGTGAATGCACCAATGAGAGTTCGGCGATCCGTCGTGAATATGTATGAGGTATAGTAACAAATGTTATAACACACCTCTTCCTGGTTCGTTATCCTGGTTGGCTGAAATACGGTCAAGGGCAGTTCACTAATATGGGCTAATACCTGAATTTGGCGTCAGCGTGACTCGACACGCGCCTAGACATTGCGCGTGCATCCATTCAAGAGACTAGTGCCTGATCAGGTACTAGTCTTAAACCTTTTTGACTGGTTATGGCTCATTTTAAAACGTTGAATACGGGCGATTCACAGTAACGCACCCCAAGAGGATGCGAAATCTGTCGAAGCTTTCCAAATGCGTATTGGATTTTGCGCATTGTGATTGGCCAACGTGTTGCAAACTCTTGGTGGCACGCTATTGTGAAACGCCCGTATTGAAACAGTTAAAGCCCTGGAAGATTTCGTTTCCTAGTTGTATACATTAACTCAAAATTAGACTGCGTCTATAAAAAAACTAAATGGAACGTTCATTTTATGTAATTTTTGAAATGGTACTGAGTGAAAAGTTTAATTTAAACAGTTGAAACCCTGGAAGAATTATTTTCCTTGTTGAGTATAGCAAATTAGGCTGCGTCGAGGGAAGCTCAATTTCATGAACCTTCAATTTTTTTGCAATTTTTGAAGTGCTCTTAAAAGTTGGATTTAAACACTTAAAACCCTGAAGGAATATTTTTCTAGTTTGAGGTGTGTTATAACTTAATACACATATGGACTGGCCAAATTTGGTCACTAGTGCACGCTCATGCCCCCTCGGGCCTGTGGAAGACCAGAAGAGGGTCTTATTTCCTTCGGCCTCGGGAAATAGGACCCTCTTCTAATTACTCCCTCGGGGACATAGACGTTCATATACAGACCTCATCGCCAGCCCACATATGTATACTTATACACGGTAAAGTTGCACGTTGATGAATAGGGAGACGGTGTTAACTTTCACTCTGTTTGGGTGATGACGGGCTTGATGATATTTTTCTGCGATGAGATACGTGGATTGAAATAGACTGAAGACTATTTCCACTCTTGCAAATCCTCGGAAGAATTTTGAAGTGAACTACCACAAAAAAATTTTGTTTGTCCCTGCCCTCCCAGGTAACTTCGGTGACACTATCAACAAATTCCTTGGTCTTGCCACTGGTGCGCTCATTGGCATCATCGTGGGCGCCATCTTGGTCGTGGTGCTGATCTGCGTCTGCGTGGGATGTATCTGCTACCACTGCTGCTGCAAGAAAACCCAACCACAGACCTCGTACAAAGTTGTGTCCCAGACTCAGCAGCAGCAACAACAACCCCCTATGGCCATGCAACCGACCGGGCAGCCGGTCTACCCACCCGGCCAACCAGCACCTTATCCTGGTCAACAAGTCTAGGCATATATTTGCATATACGGCCGGCGACGCCACTCATTTTGCAGCCCCAATCGTCAATAAAGTAGCTGACTATAAACAACTTGAAAACACATCAAAGTCAAGTATCAGTTTGGTTTCTAGAGGCGCTCTTGCCAATTAAAAAACCTTATGCCATATCTATTTTATTTTTGGTGGAATGACGTCAAACAGCGTCTCCTCTAGCTGCGACTGTATCTGTGAGCGTTTTTGAAACGAGTGAATTCGGCGGAGCCTTTGGTTTCGCTGGTTCCAGTCAGAGTGTGAACATGTGTTTTCGAACGTTGCTTCAAAATGAGTGTGAATATGTGTTTTCGAACGTTGCTTCAAAATGGCTGGAACCAGCGAAACCAAAGTCTCAGCCGAATCTACTTGCTCTGTGTCTTAAGCCTTGCCTACTGTCGACATGCGTTTCAATTATGTGGAAACCAGGCTTAACATTTCGGTTGCGTCGAACACAACCCGTCAGTGCCATTTTTCACAAAATTCGCCCCGTCTGTATTCTGATTGGGTTTTTCCCAGCAACGTGCATAAAATTTGATAAATTATGCACATAATGATGTTACGCAGACTCAATCTGGTTCAGTATGTTAAACAAAACGCCACATTCTTGCTTAGACGGCCGGGTCATGTGGTCACGTCAGACTTTAACAATGTGCATGTATTGTGTAGAATAAGGTAACATAATAACCAATGCTTTACTGGGTTTTTTTTCAAAGTTTCGAATTGGTAAATCGCTCTTCTTTGGGAACCCAATAACGCAATTTAAAAAATGCTGTCAAGCTGAAACAAAATGGAACAATCTGAACGTTAAACGTGCATCTGTAACTGTAGAAGAGATCTTTGGTACAATTACCAGTGCAGCGTAATCTTGAAATTGTAATAAGGAGGTCTTTAAATACTAATTGTGTCGTACATCACACTGAAATACGTGACTGTTTTGCTGTGATATTTTGGTAGTGTTTTAGCTGAATTTTTTCGTCATGAATTTGAACTATAAAAAGTGCGTGGTTACTTTTTGCGCAGGTATATGATGTACTTTTGGAACAACCCAGAGTCAGTTCCTTGAGGTGATTACCTGTTTGATTTTAAAAGTTATTTTCCTAATGATCCAATCGCTGAGCTATTCTCTGTGGACCAGAGAATAACTCAGTGCATAGACATAGACTTAGTTACATAGACTTCACCCTTCCAATACAGCCCAGCAGCTAACAAAGTAGTTTATAGAAAAAGCCAAAAAGGGGGCAATGTGCCCGCCCGCTTCCTTTCTGGAGAATTATGAGACCCCCCCCATTTTGTTTACTACGATAGAAAAAAAAGGCCGAAAAAAGTTAATCAATTCATCAGAAATCAAATTCTCAGGTGTCGCAACTTCTAACTTCAAACTCTAACAGTTGTACTTTCCGAATCCTGCGGTCAACTATGCAATCTTCAAATTTGTTAACTTGGCCGCATTTGGTGCTCGACTATATCCAGGGTGACACGCCCCCCTCCAGAATAGCAAGGAAGTTGAAGGTCATCATAAATTCCTGTCAGTTTACGAGTAAGATAATTTTAAATTTGCGATATATTTAATCTAAAAAATAAAGCCACAGGTAAAAACAAATGAAAATGTGGCTTGGAATCCAAAATATCCTAGCATCACCTCCATTTAAAAGATCACATTGAATAAGGTGGATGCAGGGAACAAGATCGAAAATGCCTTTCCCTGGGAAAAGGTCAATGGCGGTAAACAAGGCGGCGTAGTTTAACGTTTACTGCCGTGCAGCACTGCCATCCATGACTGCCATTCAATATTATTTCTCAGACCTCGAGGTGGGCTCTGTCTGTAGGTAAGCCCATCCATAGCGCCCTATCTGTTCGTACTAATAGGGCAAACCAACATCTTTACCCTTCTCAAGTGTGTGACCAATGGTTTTTGTCTTTTGGGGCGATTTGCGAAAACTGTTTCATACAAAATGATATGTTTTGTTTAAGGCATCCGTTTGTTGAAAATTTGAAGCATTCGTGTTTAAACTTAATCTGAAATGATTTAAAAACCTTGCTATCAAATGAATACCGTCTACAAGTATATAGAACTGTATTTAATCATATTTCACATTTTTGTCATATTTAGTATTTTTTTTAGCTTAGAACTTGCAGTAACAGTCTCTCTAAAAAGTCATTAACTGTATACTAAGATTATTTCGTCATGCAGGATTTTCTGAATCCTGCATGATTACGTAGAGTGTTTTCGAATGCCTGTTCTTGACAACACTAGGGCTGAGTTCGCGCGGCTTGTTCCCGTATGTTCACAAACAAATCGATTTGTTGTTTGTGGGTCGGTCGGTGAACGCTGGGGCTGCAGTGGCAAGCAACGTGTAGCATGACGGCGGCCATGTGCGTTATTCGAGAGTTAATGTTTGGATGGGCTGAATTCTTTTCTATTTAAGCAGGAACATTCATTTCTGTGTTATGGAAAATAATTAATGTTAATTTGGCAAAACTTCCCATTGTCTGTGGCTTTAGAAGCCATCTCTCTACTTTTTGCAGCTAATCAAAATCAAAATCTCATGAGTTTTTCCGTGTCGTCCTGCAAAACCCTGACGAGGAGGTGATGTGTGATCCTGTGTCAAGAACAGTGTTCTTCAGTCATGGTCGTGTTCGCGCCGCTCGAGCGCGAGAACAAGAAACCTGTGTCAAGAACACGCCACCCGAACTCGACCCAGGGTTGACCCGAGACGTGACTAACGGTCTCGAATGTGACAGACAGACCCGACAGGGCGTAAGCAGATCGATTTTTTCACTCCGGTTTTTGGGTTGAGCGAAGTGCAGCCAGAACAAAATGGTTTACTGTACACAATATATTCAAATTCTGGTTGAAAGGCGAATATGAGATCTGAATTCTGATTCCTGCATGGCCACAGTTACATAAGTTCAATAACCCATGAATTCTTGCTCTTTTCTTCCTGGAAAGAGGGGCTGCCACGAGGGTCATGTTTTGATCTGTTTCACGTTCATCTTCTGAATGGTCCTCAAATAAGTGCCAAATCGTAGATTTGTCAGCCATTTTACATTGTATTGTCTCGATGCGACACGCACCTGCCCGTTCGTAACAACCTGCTCAAGAACACCGTTTCTGTGTTACTCGAGTGTTGCCAAGAACAGGGATTCGAAAATGCTCGAAGAGATGGATATCACCTCAGGTTCCTCATCGTTCGTTCTCCTCGAGAAAAAAAGCTACCTGTTTCACTTTTCAGTAATAATTACCATGTCGTGTCTTATGTAAAGTAGTGTGGTCGTCCCACTGACTCAAAATTCACGTTTTCTATTGTCCTTCTTCACAGTGTTCAGAAAAAATAATAAATATTGCAACACACCAGTTCCGAGAGGACGTGGTTCATTTTACCTTTTTGCCACGAAATTGGCATAATGCATTGCCCACATGGCATCAGTAGTATGTATAGTATAGGGTAAAATTTCTAGACGAGATCTGGGGTAGACGCATTTCTTCGGGCGGGGGGGGGGTCAGTGAAAGCCCATGAACCGCAGCTTGGACATTACAGGTTGAGTGAATTTCAAGACTTCAAACGGGGGCGGGGAACGTGTTCATGGGTGCCCCACCCCATAGTTGCGCAGAGCACTGCATGGCAGAAACCTATTCTGGTTATCCTTCCGTACTTTATTTTCCATATAAAAACGCAAAACTTCCGTGTCCGGGAGTAAAGTTCGTGTGAAACGCTGGGTTTATGGAAGGGCAGATCCAAGACCAAATTTGGGGCGGGTACTTCTCGTTGGGGCCCCAAAATTTGGAAATGTGTTCATGTAACCATTTACGGCCTTTCTTAGTGTCGAAGCTTCCGGCTTTTTTACACGCTTTTGGAAAGAAGAGAAATAAAAAAAGGTGAAATCGTCTTTCTGTGATTATTTGAAGAAAAAACCCTCTTTTTGATGTGTGGATGGGGTGTGGCCCCCATTAGCCACTAGGGTCCACCCTTGGGTTTAAGTGTGTTACATGCATAAACGTGTTGACACAAGGACATTCCTAGCGCACGAACAGGGAAAGGGGTACCAAACGTAGGTATAGGAGCAAAATGGTTGAAATGTAACCCTGAGGTAGCCGTTGCACGTTGGCCATTCACACGATAACCCTCAAGAAATGTTCAGGCAAGATTTTCTTAAGCTCAGGAAAGCCGAACCACAGCATTTGAAAGTGGTTCGGATGCTGAAATATTGGGGTTCAACTTTTCAAAAAGTGAAGTGTGACGTTTGAAAGTTTAAGAGCAGTGTTGAAAGTTGGGCCACAGTGACTACCTTTGCCTGTCCGTTTTAGAACACCTACTATTGGAAATGCGTCACGGGACACGCACAAGGAAGGACTAACCAAACGAGCCACGGGCCTGTTTTGTATCGCACGTATCCGGATCACGATCAGTGATCTGAAGTTGGTTCACTAACACCAGATCCCGCCTAATGGGTGGAGTGAACCAGCGTTGAGATCATCAATTGAGATCCGGTTTAGTATGAAACAACCAGACTCTACATAATTCGCGGTCGAGGGTGTCTCATGTGGTTTCTCAGTGTCATGTGTTCCGTACAGGACGTATGCCGAAAACAAAGATAATGTGCAGGTCGGAATAGAAATGTAGGCCTATATAAACATTGTCAGGAGTTCTTTATCTCACATTTTCAGCGCCTATTCGGCTCATTCCAATTAAAAAGACAGTAAAGCATTGTGCATAGCATTGAGCAATCATGGACAGCTTTGAGTACCGTCTTGGAATCGTGTGGTATTTTCTGCTATTCGTGTTGGGTCTGCAAATAAGAACGACAACATCAGAAGGTAAAAAAAATGCTTTTTAAAAATAATAGGTGTAATAATTTGCCAGCAGAGTAATACAAGCAATTCACAATAGTGCGCCTCCAAGAGTTTACAACGCATCGGCCAATCGAAACGCAAAATTTGTAGACCCTTTCCGAACGCACATTGGGTCGACAAATTTCGCGCATTGTGATTGGCCAACGCGTTGCAAACTCTTGGAGGCGTACTGTTGTGAAAGGCCCGTATTGATTTTTTTTTTTTTCGGGCTGAGTTTCAGACCCCTACTTTGAAAACTGCTTTGTACATAATATACCAGGAAGAAGACTGTAGTAAAGTCATTTAGAATTTTTTAAAAACATATATTTATATATGTTCATGAACTAGTTGATATTGGTACGAACGTAAAGATTCTCCACTTCAAGTGGGTGTAACGGCATCCATTGAATTACAATATTTTGCCACGCACAAGGAAGTAAATCAAGTTAGATCGTACGGAATGTTTACACTTGAAGTGGAACATAGGCCGTGTCCCAAACGGGCTTCCAGAGCTACGGCTAGGTCTATTGTCTGCGCGTCTCCACGCATTTCCAATGGAGTGAAGACCTAGACCTAGCTCTAGACAAGAGATTCGGATGCAGCCTATAGTTTTGCGAACGTGACATTTGGTTTGTTTTTTAAAGAAAGGTCGAGTTTAGAAATAACTGTGTACCAGTCTTTCACTTAAATACAACAGAGTACATGGATGACTTGTGCGGACAGACTATTCAAGCTGGGAGCACAGGTGGCGTTCTTCATTCTCAGTCCGAGCTTACATACCGAGATTACGTAGACTGCACCCTCACCATCGTGGCCGACCCTGGCCGTAAAATTCTCCTGACTTTTTTGATGCTGGACACCGAGGGGACACTATTCGACTGTAATCGAGACCTCGATTATCTGGAGATCGTCGACGGCCCTTCGACCGTCCAGAATGGGCCGGAGCTTGCGGTGCTCTGTGGTCGTTTCACGGGCAACGTAACGTCCAAGACCAATGCGGTTACTCTGACATTTAAGACGGATTCTAGCGCTACATTTCGCGGGTTCACCGCCGCTTTTACATCTTTCGGGATGTACAACCAAGGTAAGTTACTCTTTGACAGTGAACATCGTGTTTTGCGTTGTGTCGTGCAATGCCGTGTGGTCGTGGGGTATGTGTGGTCCAATACGGTCTCATTTCGGCAGACCTCGACTCATTGTTAATGGTACAGCGGCGTATCCAGCTTTTGGTGTCCGGTTGGGGGAAAATCCAAAGGCGAATGCGTATTTGGGCTCATTCAACATGATATTGTGGAGAAAAATCAATAGCCTTACCCACATGCAGTGAGTAAAAAAAAGTAAAAAAAAAAAAAAAAAAAAAATTTTTTTGGGGGGGGACAAGCTGCCTCCTTCCCCCTCCCCCGGATGCGCCACTGTAATGATATCTACAAGAACAATTACATCTCAGTCAGTTCTCAGACTAAAGGCCCGTTGTACAGTTGGTTCTCACTTGTCTCGAAATGTTCACCTGACTGTTTGACCCTTACGGTTGATCTATTTACCTTTCAATGAAGGGACTTGTGTTGAGGGCGAGTTTCGATGCGACAACGACCGATGCATAGATACCAACTTGGAGTGGAATAACTATGACAACTGTGGTGATCACAGCGACGAATTTAGTTTTTACCGTAAGTGATACCATAGAAATGTTATATCCGCAGCGACAAACTCTAAGTCTCGCTTCTTATTTACGCGTGAACATTTATGGAAATGTATGCTAAAGTTCGCGGTGTTTTAATGTTTTAATGAAAATAAGCCCGACACAATCAATTGTTAAACGACTTCTCATTTTTCCACGGGATTTGGAATCTTATTTATTGCTCACTGATAGAATGGGAAACTTTACATGTGAAGCTGTCTTATAAAAGTGTTTACAGTGTAAATTACAATAAGTGAGATCCAAATTTGAAGAGAATTAAATGAGTTTTTCTTTTTCCAGTTAGATAATTTTATAATAAAAAATTGTTATCAAGTGACAACGTCTTCATTTGTAATGTAGAAAATCTACAACTAACAAACTTAAAAAATGTAAGTATCGACTATCTGTCTTCCTAAAAAGCTCCATTGTGAGATTTATATTGTATCGATGCCGCCAATAAATTTTATTTCATATACTTTCAAAATTTCAATTTCCCTTTTTTCTTAATTCCTTCGCATGACCTTGAAATTAACAGCTAGGGTAATGACCAGGTATTGCAGCCAGACCATTTCGGTGGGACGTGAAGAACTCCTTCCTTCACAAGCCAGCTATCTCTACCCAAATGAGCTAGATTGTACGACGACCCTAGAGACCGACAATGGCAAGAGACTCCTGCTCCGTGTCTATTTACTGGAAATCGGGGACTGCAGTGCTGACTACGTGGACGTATATGATGGACCATCCGAAACGTCTCACAAGTTAGCTGTACTCTGTGGGTCTCGTCAAGTGGATGATATTGTGTCTAGTGGGCGTGCCGTTACGCTTAGATTCAAGACCGATTCTTCAGTTGAGTATCGGGGATTCGTCATCTCGTTTACGTCGTTCAGGGAGCAGGGTAGGTGAATTCTTGTATTTTTCACGAGCAGGCCCACACGACTTGGCATGGTTTGACGGCTAGATATTCTACCACTCCAGAACAAATCATTTCTTACCTATGTTTGTAGTTAATGAAAAACATAATCAGTTGATTTCTTCTTACAGGCCCTTGTTCCTCTGATGAATTCAGATGCGATAACCATCGATGCATCGATGACAGTCTCGCATTCAATTTATTCGACAATTGCGGTGACAACAGTGATGAGAAACGTTCCGTCTGTAAGTTTCACAACTTTCTCGCAAACCATTCCCGGGAGCTTGTAGATGAAAAAGGCCACTGTCATTAAATAAATCATGACTGTATTTTTCAATATCACTTAAGCCAAGTTAATTTCACTTGGTTGCGATTTACGAAAGCCTCTTTGAGACGTGGGAAGTTCTACTTTTCTTTCGTTTCCGCCTCTATTTCGCTAGGTCAAATTTGCAATTTGCCAGGACGGATTTGCGTGATAAAACTGAAAAAGGAATCCTGTATCCACCAGTTTTGGCTAGTTACTGAGAATCCAGATTCTCGTCGAGCGCAGTTGGGGCGTAACTAGGGTGAAATGACGGGAGGGGAGGACCAAGGAGTAATAACATTTTTTGTGGGAGAGGAGAGGGAACGGATACTCAAAGCATAAACTGTGGCTTAAAAATTATGTTCATTCCAAAATTTCTACTGGGAGGCTCTGGAAGGGGTGCACAGCTCTCATGGCCAGTGGCAGGTCATTGTCGGTTGACCAATTAATATTCATGATTTCCTTGATCAGATGACGAGGAAGAGGACGATTATTCAGTTGGCAGCGATGGAAGTGTCGACGGCGGTGGCGGTGTCGACGGCGTGGGCAACTATCTCACACTAAGTGTTGCAGGCATTGTCGCCATTGTCATTGGTTGTCTTGTGGGCGTGGTTCTAATCATCTTCTGCTGCGTCTTCATCTGCTACTTGGCCTGTCGGAGCAACCGACAGACGCACCACCGGACCACGGTCATAGCGCCACCGGCCTACAATCAACAGCCAGCAATGGTCATGCAAACCTTGGCTCTGCCAAATCTCGAGCCCAATGCACAACCGACAATCCACCCTCCACTCTATCCGGAACCCAGTCAGCAGTCAGCTTCACTTTGTGAAATCAAAGCTTAAAAATTTAAAGTCACCATCATAAATAAGCACAAGAATACTAAAGAAACATCAGGAAACGACGCCGTTTTATTTACTCTCACTTGTGTGTTGAAAGATACAGGCAGTAAACCAACCGGGCATATTTGCTTCCGAGTTACCTTCCATGTCTTCCGTTTAGCACTTTCCTTATTTTACAACGTCTCTTTTCCCCCGATAGGTTTGGCTTCAAAGACCAATATGAAGGAACCACTTTAAGCAGCATTGTTTTATTGGTATGATACATTTATATCCAAGATGTATCATAGGTAGACTTATGTAGAGTTGGTAATCGCGAAAAAATTGAATTCTCAGTATGTAACTATTTCAACCATTTTAACTCAAGATAAGATATATCAATTTAGTATCAACAGATTTTGGGGATGTCAAAACTTCCAGGCCCTGAAATTTTTCAAGCAGACTGACTTTTGGATTGGTGTTCGCATGTATCGTGCGAGTTTCTATCCTATGCATGTTATGCACTGTAAAATTTCAATAATGTACCACCCATATGACATCAGTAGCGTATATAGTGTACATGTCTACAGAGGGTGAAATTTGCAGAGGGTATGTGGAAAACACACGTTATTCAGTGGGGGGGGGGTCGAAAGCCCATGAGCTGCAGCTTGGGCATTACGGGTTGTGTGCATTTTAATATTTCAAACGGGGCGAGGAACGTGCTCCCCGGTATACCCCAACTTCATAGTTACGGAGAACACTGCATGGTATATCCATGCTTAACCCCAGACTGGAGCCAGTCTACAGGACTCCAGTAGACTGGCCCCAGTCTGGGGCTACCCCGTGCCATACTTCCTTGAACTGTAAAAAATATGCTAAATACATATTTCATCGCTAGGATATTCTGGTATTTGTCTGAAAGGTGTTGGTGATTAAGGAAAAATTCAACGAAAAAACAGAAAAACGTGGAACATAAAAATGATAGAATGCATGAAGTTTCAAAGGTTACCTCTGTTAAGAGATGACAGCTTGTTACGTGGCTGTCTTTTTAATATTTATATTGTTTTAACTTATATGTAAAAAAAAGTCTATTGTTGTTTTTAAAGTGTCTTTATTTTTCTGTTCAAGTGCTTACTTTTAATGGCTTTTAAATCGTGTTAATCTTTTTCTTAATTTTGTAAACTCTCATACAATTTGGCCTGTTGGCCACAAATTGTGGGTAAAGAAAAATGAATGAATGAAACCTTTTCCTAGAATGAATGCACTGACAAACGGAAACGCACTCCAATTATCCTTCCGCATTTAATAATTCACTCTCGCAAAACCTTTCGTGTTCGGGAGTAAAGTCTGAATGGAGCGCTGGGTTTAACCAAGGACGCATCCAGAACCAAATTTGGAGGGGGGGGGCTTGGTGGGCACCAAAATTTGGAAATGTTTATGGCTCTTCTTAGGGTCGTAGCTTCCGGCTTTTTACATGCTTTCGCAAAGAAGATAAATTAAATAGAAAAACGTCACCTTTGCCTCCTTATTTGAAAAAAAATGCCTCTTTTTGATGTCTGTATGGGGTGTGACCCCCGTTAGCCACCAGGGTCTACCCTTGCGTTTAAGTGTGTTACATGTGAAAACAGGTTAACACAAAGACACTCCTGGCGCGCGAGGGGGGGTACCAACCGTGGGTATTGAAGCAAAATGGTAGAAATGTAACCCTGAGGTAGCCGTTGGCCACTCACACGATAATTCGAATGAAATGTTCAGGCAAGATTTCTCAAGCTCAGTGGGGATGCATCTAGGATGTTTCAAGGGAGGGAGGGGAACTAAAGCGTCAATGGTAAAATAACTGCGAGGGCGTTGCACAAAGCCCTTACGGCGTGGGGTCCGTTGCCCGCTGAAGGGAGTCTAGGATTTGATTGGATTTTAGTAGCTCTTTTTCAGGCAGTACGAACCACTTTTCTTCTTTTCCCTCTCTCCTTTTTTTCTTCATGTTTTATTATTTGTGATTTATGCATTAAGTTTGATGAAAAAAGGAGGCGTGCCTCCCCAGAACCGCTCCTACTCAGGGTTCACCTTTCAGAGCCTCGCACTTCAACCGTTTGGACAGTTGATCACGGCGTTTGAAAGTGGTCCAACCTCTAACATGTCGGGGTTCAACTTTTCAAAAAAGTGATGTATGACATTGTAAAGTTGAAGTGCAGTATTTGAAAATTGGCCCACGTACCAAGAGGTATGCCTGTCCGTCTAGAACATTAACACCACACTGTCTGGGAATGTGTCAAGACGTACGCACAAGGAAGGAAATCATACTATACGTACTTTGTGGTTGAGGATGTCTCACGTTTAGCCTCTAAGTATTAAGGACTCCGGAAAGGATGGATGCAGAAAACGAGGAATATGTGCAGGTCGGAATAGAATGTAGTGACATATAAAAGTTAGCAGGAACAATTTATCCCACATTTCCAGGCCACAGCGCACTCATTGGCTCATTAGAAGTAAACACCATCAAAGTATTTGAAAATCATGGACAGCTTCAAGTAGGCCTACCGTGTTGGAATTGTCTAGTGTTCTCTGTTGTAAGTGTTGGATCTGCAAATACAAACGGCAGCATCTGATAAAACACTTTATTCTTACAATAGTTACAGTATTTTGCTAGTTACATCAGTACAAGCGCATTTACGTTTATATCGTACGGGATGATTTTATTATTGGGAATGGGGGATTTCGTGGATGTAACATTTGTGTATGTATTTTCTGAAATATAGGTTTTTAGTAATAACCACGCTACATATTAATCTCGCGGGATTTTAATGCTTTACTGAGATACGCACGAAATAATCAAGTTTCAAACGACTTTTCATTTTTTCCAAGATTTTGGATCAGATTTGTTGCTCAGTGAAAGTATATAAACCTTGAAGTGTTACCACTGCCTAATAATACAAAGTAAATTACAAAAGTAACTGGGATCCAAACTAGGAGAGAATTAAATAAATCTTCTCGAATTAACTTTTACCAATTAAAATTGGCCGCCACTTCATAAATACTTTCAATTATAATGTACAAAATCTATTAAAAAATTAACTAGCGCAAGCATCGACTGTTTGTCTTCCTAAAAAGTTTCATTGTTTGATAACAATAGATATTTTCCGACTTTCAGTTTCCCCATTTGTCCAAAAATGTAAGCAATGCACTAGAAAGGACTTTTGAAGCAGATATCTGCCGATTCCTTTGAATTGAAAGAAAAGAATATTCCTACAGATGACCTTGAAATCAACAGACGAAATGACCAGGAGATGCGACCAGACCATTTCGGTGGGAACTGAAGAATTCCTTCATTCACAAAAAGCCAGCGATCTCAACCCAAATGAGCTGGATTGTACGGTGACCCTACAGGCCGACTGTGGCAAGAGACTCCTGCTCGGTGTCGAATTTCTACAAACCGAAGACAAAGCCTGCTATGCTGACTATCATGAGGTATATGACAGACCAACCGTGTGGGTCCAATATCACACCAGTAGCTGTGCTCTGTGGGACTCGTCGAGTGGATGATATCTTGTCTTGTGGGTGTGCCGTTACGCTCAGATTCAGGATTGATTCCTCAGTTGAGTTTCGTGGATTTGTCATCTCGTTTTCGTCGTTCAGGGATGCAGAGCAGGGTAGGTGAATAATGCTATAATTTTCCAGGTTTTGTTTTTGGTTTATTTGTTGGGGTGACGGATTTAAGTCATAAAAGTGAAAACTGAATCCCGTACCAGCCAGTTTTGGCAGATTATTGAGAATCCAGATACTCGTGGAGCACAGTTGGGGCGTAACAAGGGTGAAATGAAAGGGGGAGACGAAGGGGTACATATATATCTTGGAAGGTGTAAGCGACCGTCAAAAGAGGGATTTCACATTAATATTAGCGCCGTCTGCGCATATCCGCATCAAAACCGAGGCTCTCTGTGTTGAACTTTATCGCGCGCCCCTGGAGTCGACACAGTACATGCAGTATCCTGTTCAAAAGTGTGACACCACTTCAGTTTTAACCACGCCCACTGCACAAGATACACGACCATCGCAAGTATGTTAGTTCGCAGTAAATTATCGGTTTTTTTTCTTTTAATTTAACTTGTCGAGTCATCCTAAAAGACTCTTCCACAAAAGTTTGCAGCCTGAAAAGTCTGAATTTAACATACTTTAGTGTATTTGTGTCTTGACTCCTTACTTTCAATCGTCTGATCGTATTAAGAATTGAAACCGACACACACAGCCTCGTTTTCAAACGCGGAAGCGCGCAGATCGACGCTAAAAGCGTCATATTGGGATCCCTCTAAAGGGCAGTGTCAACATTTTTATCATCACCTCAACTCATCACTTTTAATAATTTACCAATCCTATGCGAAATGTGCTTAGCACAGATTTACCCATGCAGTAACCCATTAAGACTAACTCCACCGATGTTCTCATATTGAATCCTATTCAGAACCAAGTCTAATAAAACTGGCACATATCAATATCTCCCTTGCAACACAGTTTTTACCTGTTTTTCCTGGCAGTCCAGTCTGCAGTTGTAAAAATGGACGTGTTGTCACGACTCATTAGCATCTAATGAATATTGATTTCTGTAACGCATTACCGTGGAGAGGAAACACCACACAGTGCGCGCACTATATGCATCCATAAGCACGCATAGCTGCGAACGACAGCACGAACTTGAAGAATGCTTTCATTCTTCGGAATCTCGAACAATTTCAATCCTGGTTCTTTCGCAGAATTTCTAGTACGTCCACCAAGACGCACGATTTGGGCATTATTGTAAGTCATGAAGAAAGGAGCACAAACTCTCGACCGAAAAGAGATAATGCGGCACAGATATCCGTTTAACAGGGTATCATTTCACCATTTTATTTCATTCGCAGTTACATGTTCACTGGTCATTTCTTGCGGTGTATTTACATACAGCACATCGGCATCCTATGTTTAAGTGAAAGACATTAATAGATTAGGAAAAGAAGTTCATGCATGTAGGTGAGAGTTTCAACTCCTGTTAGTAAATATCGCCATAAACAGACTGAATATTTGAAGACTTGGGAAATGATCACCTGAAGACTGTGACAATCCTCCATTGGATTCTCAGAGCTCCATCACGGTAGATGTTCCAGTTGTACATTTAACAATTGTTGACTGGTGAGGTGTGGGACATTACGTTTTAACACCCGAGGGACGCACAGCGCCGTCGGCTTCGCCTCGGGGTGCTACACGTCCCTCGAGTGTTCAAAATATTGTAACCCACACCAGAGCAGGCAACAGTTGTTAAGTGCTGAGTTAAAACAACTCGAACAAATCCTGGACAGTTTCTGTTATAATGGAGTGAATTATAATGGAGTTTACATCATTGCAAGATTTGCAATCTTTTCTTTGCTGTAATTTCAAGCCACTGCTTAAGTTGACCCAAGTTTTGACAACACTGTTTCAGGGCTTTGAACTGGAGTAATGAATTAACGCCATCTTGTAATCACAACATTTACTTCTTGTTAATGACGGTCAAAAAGTTTTTACAATACAGGTGCTACACAATTACGATATTAACTTTACATCTATATCTTAAAGAATGACTGAACCCTGATATTCCTCATTTCTCTCATGTTGATACATTTTTTGTTAGAGTTAAATTACTTAACAATAAATTCAAGAGTGAGAAGATGCTCTGGACTATCTGTGCACGTCAACTAACATTTGTGAGTGGATCATCCAATGAAACTGGAAATCTTAGGTTTATCTAAGAATTGAAGAATAAAAACAAACAGACAAACAAAAAAAATGTCCATGACATCCTAGCATCGTTTTCTTTGAGAAACCGGAAATGTAACTTACACTTCATTGATTTATGTCGTATGAACCTACTGCTACCAAATGTCTTACAAGAAAATTATAGTTATCGCTGTTTTCAACAGTGAGCATACTACATGAACATCTCTCCGATTTCAGTGCCTGAGATAAGTGGACACGAAAACCCTAAATCTTCTGATCGGCATAAGCCACCTGTTGGTTGGCTGGGTAGGCAGGCTCACTGGCAGGGTAGGCCGGTTGTCCAGTGGGATAGGCCGGTTGTCCAGTGGGATAGGCCAGTTGTCCATTGGGATGGACCGGTTGGCCGGCTGGCTGCACAGCCACAGAAGCCTGCTGCTCCTGCTGAGCATTCAACAGGACCTGGTACGAGACCTGCTGTGGCCTTTGGTTCTTGCAGCAGCAGTGGTAGCAGAGGCAGCCACAGCCGACCGCGATAAGCACCACAACGACGATACAACCGATGATGATGGCAACCACTATACCTGTGGCAAGTCCAATGGCTCTGTTGTAGATGTCATCAGCGTCAATGTCTATGTCTGACAGGAAAAACAGAATGCACCATTCATTTAGCAGCTTTGTGCTTAATTGCCCAAATTCTACCAGCAAATCCAATGGAGCACCGAGGTGTGATGCCATACTTAGCCAGTAAATGCCGTACAAACGAATTGAGTATGCACATGCAGGGTTCACTGCTGGTTCTTATGCTAATACCTTTCACACACATAACTGTGCGTGTGGCGTATTCACTTCAGTACACTATAGCCAAAGTTAAGATGTTCAAAACAGGAATGATAGGTGCTGGTCATCTCTCTGAAGTGTCAATACCGTTTCCCATGATTTCCCACAGACTGCCAATGTCACACTCGTAATTAAACCAAGTCACTAAAACACTGATTATTCATTATCTCAATGGTTCCTGAAAGTGTACATTAGATGCGATAAATTTTTTGATGACACATTTTTTGGCAACTTTATCCTCTCCTCCAATGTATGAAAATTATGTGATATCCCTATTGGTTAAATACATTGAAAAGTGAACTTCTTTTCACATTTAAAATTATACATGCTTTCCTGGACAACAGAGGGCACTCTTGCTATGACGGCATCCAAGGAAGACATGGTTCAGTGCATTAAGTACATTAAGTAGTTCACTTGGATTAACAGGTAAATAAAATAGACAAGTTAGCCATTTAAGATGAGCTTATCAAATGAATGAAACACCCTCCATCAAAGATGGAAAATGTAAAAAATCTCTCCTAACTCAGCTGTTGAGAAATACTGCCCGTCAGCACATACACAAAAAGAACTCACTGTAAAGAGAGTTTCAAAATCTAAAACACTAAATAATACCCATTACTGTCAACTACTAATTAAAATTGGATTGATTTTCTAACATTAAAGAAACATTTTAGAGCAATACTGTCAAGAACACGAAGTCATTTTTCTGCAACTTTGGCCGCCCATGCAAAATAGCAATCCCCCTCGAGCTGTGAGATGCGATAGACCATGCACACAGGTGATATAATTCCATCATTGACTGCTTTAGTTTCTAGTTCTGATCGTTTCTGTCCTGAGCAAGCTCAAAGCACGATCTCTCAGCTAGCTGGATAGCACTGGTCTAACTCGTGTCTATCTGGATGACCTACTGCACTTGAATGCATCCTTTGCGAAAACAGGTATTGTTACAGAAGCAGTTTAGGTTTGAGGCTAAGTTAAACTGACTTGTGCATCTATTTCAACGTTATAAACCCCCATTTTTAATTTAAGGTAAGACTGTCTATTCAGTATCAAGTTTACTCACTGAGCAAGTCCTCATCACTGTTGTCACCGCAGTTGTTGGAGAAGTCGTTTCTAAGGCTGGCATCAATGCATCGCTTGTTGTTGCACTCAAATTCATCTGCATCACAGGGCACTGAGAAAACGAAACACAAAACAAACCCAAAAAACCAACATTTTCATGTCAAGTGCTTGAGTTTGATGTAGTTGAGTCACGGACCATTTACCCAGGGATGTGCAACTGCGAGCGGCCCCAGTGCAAACACATGTGCGACCTTGGTTCCATCACATACTATTTACCCAGGCGCTCTCGACTTTCTCAAAAAAACTCCCGACCACATGACGCGTTGCAGCATGTACAGTGCAGCCGTGGTTATGCCGAGATGACGCGCCGATGCGGTGCTTAAATCTATTCGTTTTGATGAATAAGTCTTCTTTATTTATCGATTTCAAGCAGAAACGTAGTTTTAATGGGTTAAAATTCCCAAATTTTGTGGTACACTTTTCTCATGATGAAATATCTTGGGCAACATATTTTTAGAAAGGGTGTACCCTGACTTAAAATATTGCAAGAAAACAAAGTGGTAGACAGGAATATATATTTTATTATTGGGGATAATCCAATTTAATTTCTGCTTTAATATTGTGCCGGCCGTAACACGCATTGAACCAGCTCTGAGCTTAAGTTGCACATCCCTGGGTAAATGGTCCGTGGTAGAGTGAACTGTGATGGAATGTGCTGGAATGAAAGTGGATGGGATTGGCACCAGCCTTGTAGAAAACTTTGGGCTTGAAGCACTGGCGGCAGAAGCGGGGGGCCAGTGGCCCCCCCCTGGCCCACTTTTTCGACGGGGGGAGGGGGGCATGGCCCCCCACTTTTTGCAGGGCCTATAAAGGGTTGGGGCTTCATGGATCAGCCTATTAATGGCTGATACCCCCACTTTGAAAATCGTTCCGCCGCTGCTGCCTTGAAGTACAGTGTAGGTTGAGGCTGCAGGTACACGTAGACGTGACTGTAAAAACTGAATAAGTTATGAAACTGCTTTTTGCAGTCATATAATTTGACTATAGTGGTTATTTGTTTTCAAAACCTCACAAAATTTGTCCAATCAATATCACTTTGCGTGCAATATGGAAAGTTGTACATTACATAACAATGTATTGAGAGTTTTTGTTCATGATGAGCTTACCGATATCAGATGTAGTGAATGATGTATACGACAGGCTGAAGCCTTCCCCTGTTGAGGATGCATCGGTCTTGAACCTCAAAGTGATGGCAGGGTATTGGGAGACAATATTGTCAGCACTGGTGCCACAGATCACCCCAAGGTCAGGATAAAAGGTATTCACAGACCCGTCGAAAACCTCCAGGTAGTCCCCGTCACAGCCCTGTCCACTAATGGTGTCCCCCTTGATGTCAACATTGTTGAAGGTGAGTAAGATCCGTCGATCCACGTCGGCAGTGATGGTGACAGTGCAGGTTACGTTGTTGTTGTACTGTGTAACCGCCTGAGACAACATATCACCCCCTGAACGGCCGGCATCAATGGTGCCGTCGCAATTCTCATTCATATACTCTATAGTACAAAGTTCAAGAACAACAACAAAGAGAAAGCAGCACTTAAAATGAAAACTTGCCACCACACGCGTTATCTAATATGGTCTACCCTGTGAACGAAGTACATGCATATATACACCTACGTGTACTTGAAGCATATGCATATCTTGTTTGCGTATCATTCCGCAAGCCAACCGACCTTTCCATGAAATACATGTATGCAAATAAAGCAGGGGCATGCGCGTTACTACATGTGTACCACTGGTTGGCAAAGATGCTGAAATCAATGACGGAGCAATACAAATCTCCATGCGTGCGGACCTATTTGTGCATGCTCGCCATTTCTGTGCTAGCATAGTTTGACGTAAGAAACTTACAGACAAGAAATGGTCACCTTTCAACCTTAATTTTTTACTAGGAACCATCTTCAATCCTCCAAAATCTATTTTTGTGTCCAATTTTCACACTTTTGTTGAATTCCCCTCAGATCACTAGTGATACTGTCTGGAAGACTGATAATTATTTTGTATCTGTCAGTTAATTTTTTTCAAGATCGACAGCCATTTGTCTGAAATGCATTTCGTTTTTCATGCGGATGCAAATTTCCACAAGAGTTTGGCAGCGGTCAAAAATGAGATGTCCGGATTTTGGGCATGGTGCATGCACGTACCTACGCAGACCTGGATACGAGTGCTCATCCATACGGTTTCCTTCTTGTATGACACTTTCTCATTAAAGCGTTCATGATAAACCCAACAAAAGCACTACACTGGAGCTGGGACCATCCCACTTGGAACTGTCCCAACTACAATAGACCATATTTGCAGGGGACCCAATTTTAGTCAGATTCCCAAACGTAGTAAGATTTGAAAACGTTAAATTTAAAGAACAAGACTCTGTTCTATGATTTCTTTCCAATCCCCCAAATTGCCTGGTTCCATCCCATTAATGGTTTCAAATGTATGCAATACATGTACGTCCAGGAATATGACTGAAATTGGGTAGGTACCCCATAAATACGGTCTACTGAGACAGGCCTAGGGGTATAATCATGGAGAAAAATGTGTTTTATTTCTCCATGGTATAATCCACTAATTCCAGCCCTATTGAAAACAGTGTAAAATCAGCACTGTTCAGGACCCAATAACATGCATACCAACAGCCGTGAGATTTCTGAAACACAAATAAATTATTGTCTGGTCCCTAATCTTTCATTTTCTTTTCGATTTTTTGCGGGTTTAACCAATTACACTTTTAATTATTTCCACAAAACAAAATCACCCCTCAAAAAGTGATTTTTCCAAAGTCTGATTGCAGCCATTTTCAAGTGCCACCCTAAACTTTCGCAAGCACTTACTACACATATGTAGGACCATTTTTAACTTCCATTCTGCTCTCAGCTCAAAGACCCAGGGAGTTGATCCCAGTAACGATTTACACAATCTCACCATTTTGTGGGCCAAACAATCTCCTTTTTAAAAAGATACCGTAGGGGTACTTTCTATGCTTAATGCTCTGGCCAAAAATTCTCACTTGAATTGGTGGACTGCATCCCTAGGCCCTGCATGCCCAGGCCTAGAACCGTAAACACGGCTCGACGTACATGTATACTCCTCCGTCGTCGTAGTACATGTATAGTCGTGCCCTATTTACGGGTCCAGCCCAGGCCTACATGTACATGTACTTCTAAGTTCTAGTACATGTATCTGTCTTACCAAAGGTGGCATTTCCAGCTCCAAAGAGAAGCATAAATGGCAAAAGAAGCCCGACAACGATACGCTGATCACGAGTCGTCATGCTGGTACAACGTTAGTGAAGCAAATTCAGGGCGTCAATTCCTCACCAGACCTAGTATGAGGCCAGTTTCACAACAAGCTAGCAATAGCAATTATGGCGGAAACTCCGTTTGTCGACGCAATCATAATGCAATGGCCCTGCTACGCAGACCAGGTACGGCATGCCTGTACGTGTCGGAATGACAAATGAGGAAGGGTACTTATTCTAATTTATGCCCTCATCACAGTTTCCCCTTACACGTACAGGTACGTCGAGGGTCGGGGGGGACATGAATAATGCAATTTCACTCGCTCAAGTTTTCACTGCATGTGTCAGCTGTACGTGCACACGTGCACAAGCTATAAAGCTTTATCTTCGAGTGATGACAGCGCCCTCTCTGCATCTGGCGCTACACATACTAGTGGCATACCTGATTTCCCATTTGCAAGTGACGTTGATGTTCGCTGTGTTTGGTCAATATCCATGGGCTTGAAGTACGCCCCAGGAAAAAATCTGCCCCCCCGAAAAAAAGAAAAGAAAAGAAAAGAAAAAAATTAGAAAGACAAGACAAAGAAAGAAGGGAAGGGAAAAAAATCACCAATTTGCTTAAAATTACCTGGGAAATGACCCCTTCCACTGTTGATTGTTTGTCAGTGCTTCTAATAAACACTTTGCTTCCCTTTACAGATGAAGAAAACTAGCAGATCTCCTTTTTTGGTTAAAAACTACTGTTCGTTTGGGGAATTCCTGTTCAAATTGTTGAGCCAAAAATGTGCTCGTGGGCGATTGGTGAAGAAGCTTTACTCTCTGGCATACTGTCACAACATGGTTATAACAGCCCAATGTCCATAATTCGGAAATATTTTTGGCTTTGACACTGAGTTTTCTGCTTTGGATGAGGTCACACATTTGCCCCTAATGATGCCAATTTGCATTAGCATAAACAATGCCAGGATACCAAAATGGCACAAAGGAGTTGAAAATCAAGTTAACAGGGACAGCGAAAGAAGAATTTATGAGAACTTCATTAGAAAAAAAAATATCTCCTGGGCCCTTCAACCCACGCAGCGCACCAATTAAACCTCATCACAGTGTTTCCGAATGTCAGGGAAATTTAGTATCCTGAATGTACACTGTCAAGGCAATAACGTACAAGTTCTTATCACGATGTGTTAAGGAGGGGCAAAACTAGCCAACTTCGGCAGAGGAATGCACTTTACTGGGAGCTTTCTTGAACCGTTTGAGATTTATATCTAATCGGTGTTTTGAGTTGTTTTTCCGAATGTATGGTCGACGCAATTATAAGGATGATGTGTGTCGGTTCCAGGACGGCACGGCTGGCTGAGCTCGCGCAAATTGAGGGGTAATTTCTCAGGTAAGGAAGACGGCATGAAGATGAACTCGAGGCTCCAATTAGAATCACAATTCACCATTTGATACTCAGTCTAGTTATAAAATTCTCCTGTTGGAATGTTTTCATGAATTTAATTAACCAAACTTGACAGACAGCGGTCTGAGAACGATCCTGAGAAATGTACAGAGAAAGACCCCCAAAACAACTTGCCCAACGGTGAAACTGCATCAAAAAGGAGTATGAACATACCGTCGCTCCAAACCTGGGTAACAATGACACTTGCAGTGTCCCTGCAAAACTCGTGACATTATTAAGGAAATTCAACGAGCTTTTGGAAAAGCATGGGACCAGACGTGTGAGCGCAATATAGCAAGACTCATGCAGCATAAGAGAAAAGCCATCGACAAATGACTTAATATGTATACCCTCAAATAGTTTAATATTTTATGTCCACAACATCGATCATTCAATAAACAGGATCCTACACGAATATTTATGTTGTAAGAAAGGTGAATATCGCAATTCATTTTTCAAATCATACAGACGAGTGCTCAGATCGAACTGAATATCACTAAAATTTTAAGGATCCAAAATTGAAGTGAACGAACAAACAAACAAGCAAAAAACAAAACAAAATAGCAAAAAAAAAACCAACAAAAACAAAACAAAAAAACGAGCCAGCCAGCCAGCAAGCAAAAAGTGTCAGGCAAAAAAATTGTACCCAACCCCCCCCCCCGGTTGTAACCGTTTTAAGCAAAGACAAACTAAACAGACAAAAAACACAAAATCAACACCAACAACAAAGAAAACAAACAAACAAACAAACAAACACCCCAACACCCCAACAAACAAACAAACAAACAAACAAACAAACAAACAAACCAACAAACAAACAAACAAACAAACAAACAAACAAACAAACACCCCAACAAACAAACAAACACCAAAAGAGTATTCTCGATTTACTGTTTCCTATATACTACTTGCACACGATGTGCCCGACATTAATGAATCTTTCGGTCCCCCGACCAACTGACACGTCTGTAAAGATGTCGCCCTATTCAAGGATCCGATTTAAAAATCAAAGTTGGACCGTTGTCCGAACGGTGGAGACCAAGTCTGTCTCTGTGTGCTAGCCAGCATCCCATCCAATAAGCTAATGACGTCAACTCATGAGGAGGAATTTGGCGAAGGAAACCCAAAGCAATGTGTACGCTTATGGCAGGCTCGCGCTCGAACCAGGAACAGTGCAAGTGTCATACTGCTGACATTGGGTAATCATTGAGCAACATCTACGTGTACTTGTATCAATCACAGTTATGGAAGCGGTAACGGGGGGGGGAACGAGGACGCTTTTAATAGTTAACGCTTCACTGGCATGACAAACTGGTATTACTAAAACATATGTCAACAAATACAAAAGGAAAACATTAAACATCCAGTAAAGAGGTTGTAAGTATTCTAAGCACTTCCATTTTAGGTAAAGTGTTTCCCTCGAGCAGAGTTGTAACACGTCACTTATTTTTATGACTCGAGTGATCATTGTAACATATATAGGGACTCGCGGCGAGTCATTGTGACGTAGTGATTTGAGACAAGTCGAGTCTATAGACAAAAAGTCGAGTCGAGTCAAGTATTCAGCTCAAGTCAATTGAGCCTGAAAGCTGACCCCTTACGGCGTGCTTCCGGAACCATTGGATAAGAAAAAGAACGTGTAGAAATTTTAGAATTTGTAATATTTTTTCGTTCAGTTACTTCTTAAAAACTCTACTCGTAAAAAGGCCTTTGCAAAAGATATAGAAACGGAAGAATGACCTGACCTAAAAGAGAAACATCCTGCCAAATATTTACCCATCATCATTTACCTATTTCGAAAATCCAAAATAAATGAAGCAGAGTGCAATTCGGTGGGCTTCGGAATTACACTTTATGGTAGTCTTTCGGTAAAAACCACAACAAAAACAGACCAAAATATCTTAAGGATTTTGAAATATATAAGGAAATATACTTAAAGCAATAACGTGTTTTTACGAAAAATTCCACGTATAATCTAACCTTCGCTGACAAGAACTGCGTCACCCCAAGTGAACGGCATCTGAAACTCATCGACCGCAGGTAGGTAAATCTTTGCAACGTTGTACAATCTCGTTTCCACGTAAGCACGAGGAATGAAAATAAACGTGCATGAACAAGGAGACCTAGGAACGATAATGCCGGAAGTGGAAGGTCGTTAAGGAAATTTGTTTTTTACCCGTCTCCAGATGACTTTTCCTAAATATTATTTGAGGAGGAGAAAGGGAAAATTTCGAAATGAGTGTTTCTTGGGCTGGTTTCAATTAGAAATCATTCTTCAAAAATCATCAGATGTGATAGGACGGCCAATGTAAAATATACGCAGACAGACTGCGCGAGGGTTCCGGAAGCTTGCTGCGTGACCTTTCACTTTCAGGCTTTATTCGAGTCCCAAACATTTGAGCACAATACGATAAATAAAAACAAGAGAAGTATTTTGTTTTTGCATTATTAAATTTACCTCTGGTTTACACTGTAGGCCTACATGTGGTCGTACCACAGCTTACCCTTGATGGGAAAAACAGATGACATGAAAATCATGAACCGGCAATGTAAGTCATTATAAATATTTGTTTTTCGCAAAGAGGTTTAATTTCATTTTCAGGACTCGACTCTTACTAATTTTTTACTAGAGTGGAGTCTTCTGATGAGGGACTCGAGTCGAGTCATTTGCTCCCTGTGACTCGAGTCGGGTTACTTACCCGTCAGGACCGAGTGTAATCGAGTCGAAAAAAATCTGGCTCAAGCCTGACCCGAGTCGAGTCACTAACTCAAGTAATTACAACTCTGCCCTCGGCGTTCGGCAAGTATGTTCAGAATCTTTAGACATCAAATAAACTGATGTGGAACAAAGGAAACGTGCATTATGGGAAAAAGACGACAACGACACACATGCCTTTTGCTGCTTGTGAGTTATTCTGTTTCAACAGATCAGCATTTTCTTGAGAGTATTCAGAAATAAGCAGATATCCGCTTCGTTTTCATACTGCCGCCTAATGCTATCAGTGTTCTTGTCTACAAATCGACGAAAGCCCACGAGTGCCACAACGTACGCATTTTCAATATATTCTCAAAGTTCGTTTTATGAGAATATGTGTCACATTCAAAAGTTCGTTTTTAAGTGATCTATATTTCCAAATTCGTTTTTAACGAAATCTACTTTGACATGCATTGTTTGTATTTGTTGGCACAATTAGGCCTTCATACGATTAAACACCGCAAACATTCAGGAAGCTTATTTTCCCTGCACGTACGGTCATACAACATACATTTCAGCAGCAGATGGTCCGTGCGAAAGGTGAACATGGCGGAAACCAAGCTCCGTTGTGGAGTCTGTGTCTGGAGCCTGCTGATGGTGTCGGTGATATGCGTGAGTGCAAATGGTAAGAGGCGGACGCATTGGCGCTGGCAGCATGACTACGATTCGACAATCTACTTTCCGTAGGATTCGCTCCCACCGTGGTGGCAGATCACGGAGCTCTTTATTTAGACTAAGCTCTGTTCAAAACCTATTTCTGTTTATGACCGGTTGCAGATTTTCAATTGGTGGTGAAATAATGCGCCTTCATGTCGCGAACGACAGGATCATATTACATGTCAAAGGAAGTTAACCCTTTGAGAACAAGACTGCATATCCTGAAAGTGTCACTACTTGATATCTTGACACGACGGCGGTATATGCAGACGTATACGACGACATTGGAGGGGTATTGCGTCCTATTGATGATTACCACCAAATACAAAGTAAAGTTCATGTCCCTCGTCAAATGAGGATATATCATTTCAACGATGAGAATAAGCTAATGCAGTGAATGGGATGAATTATTGAATATAGAGAAAAATGCACAGAGGTATTTGGGAACTGGGCTGATCGAGAGATTCCAAAATGACACGGAGAAACCAGAAGCATAATGTATCATCATTTTTGCATAAACCCGTAGAGCTACAAACCCACCAAATGTTACACATGTAGGCCTGCGTTTAAATGACATTTCTGTGCATGTATGTGTAACTGGCAAGGCGAACAATCTAGTAGATTGTGTATACATTCACTTTAAACTGATGTATAAGCGCTATTGCTCTTCCTTGTGTGATTGCCTGACACTCAACAAAAACACGTCACGGAGTCGTGTAATTGACCTTGCTGCATCCGTGACATTATATGCACCACGAGGTCCGATTACGTGCGAAGTAAACGAAGTGGGAATTCTCGGAGTGAGCAATCGCCCTTCGTACTACAATGCACGCGCATTTTGCGTGCAAGCTAACGCGGCCTTGCTGTTCCATAGCAGGCACTGAAGTCATTTGAAAACATGTATCTTTGGAATGTTTTAGGGATACTTTGTAACCATATTTAAAAATTCTTGGGAAATGTTCTGAAAGGAAAATGGTATTTTAGCTCCTTTGGCGGGAAATTATGACGCCTCTTGAATTTGGGTAACACATTATGAAAATGGAATATTGTAGGGGTGATAAAAGTTTTTTGACATAATTATTTCCTCTTGTGGAATTTTCTTCTATGTATTATGATGGGGAAATATATCTCCCCTGAGTCTCTTCAAGTTGAGTTCATGCTCAATCATTAACCGAGACATGAGTCAATGTAAATACTGCAGCCTGATCAAATACTGTTAATTCTTTCGACATTCAAAACCAAGCATACACATTCCCGTTGAGCATTGATCGATCCTCCCATTCCACTTTTAATGATGACATCGTCAAGTATGGCGCGCATATGCGACATTTATTCAAGTTACAGCGGTCTCATTTGATTATTTCAAGATATCTTTATTTATATCTCTAGTCATTTCAAGATATCTTGAACAACTTTCGACACTGAAAGCCTCTGATCAAGGCTTTTCAGACGTCGTTTCATTGATTCCAAAATATCTGAAAATCAATTTCAAGATATCTTGAACCCATCTTCAAGATATCACCAAGTGATTTTAACAACATTCCACGCTTAAACAAGAAGTGTTTTAAAGTTTTACGTCGAACCTCTGTCAAATACGAGCTGCATGTAATACGACTATAATCAACACGGGACAGCAAATTATATGAAACATCCTGTCATCTATCCACCTCGTATCCAGAGCAACAATGTTTTACGGTGAAAACTCGTTTATAGCAGGGGTCAAAAGGATAACTTCCACAGGATAAAATTTTCTAAAAGTTGAAATTACTGTGATATATGGTATTATTGCAGAGGTCGATGATGTCATCAACGATGCCGTTGGGCTCGGCGTTGGTGTTATCATAGCGATTGTTGTCGGCTGTGTCTTGGTCCTGGTGTCATGCATACTGTGCTGCTACTACTGTTGCTGTAGGAGCCCGCCGCCAGCCCATCACACGGTGGTCGTGTCCCAGACTGCCCCGCCGGCCCAGCCCACTGTGGTGGTAGCCCAGGCACCCGCCTACAACCCCCAGCCACAGCCAGGACCACCAGCCGTGCCCATGCAGCAACCGGTGATGAGCCACGGCCAGCCCGACCACCGTGGACCGCCTCCCTACCCGGGACAGCAGTCATCCTTTGGTTACGTTAAACTCTAGGTGCAATGCAAGTTCTAACATTTTGATCTTGCGATCAAGGCAAGGGGATTGAACCGTTTGGGGGGATTAAAAATAGCCAGGTAGGCCTAGCTTATAAAAGACATATAGTTTTTTGTTCTCTCCAGCAAGAATGTAATTTGCTGTTACATTAATAATTTGTTGAAGAGGCGAAGTAATTAACAGGAAGCGTAATAGAGGATTCATTTGAAAATTTACATTGAAGCAGAATTTTTGAATATCGTATTGTGTTTTTTATGAAAATTATGGGATGAAGAAAATCATCTGCTTGCAACAATTGCTACAAATTACTTTAATTCTTGTGCACTCAAAAGGACCATATTTTATTCATGTAGTTGTTGAAACTCTATACCTACATAAGATGTGTTAATTAAAAAAAGGAAATTGCTTTTAAAAATAGTCCAAGAGTCCCCTGACCATTCTCAGATCGACAGTTTACAGTAGAGTGTAACTGGCTCAAAAAGTGGTGTTGGAAAACATTAATAATTTGACGTGAATAATTTCTTTTACTTGTACCTTTAAAATGTAGAAGCCTTTACATATTAAGATAGTCCCACGCTTTTAAGAAGTGCTTAAGATTCATTCAAGGTACAGAACAGTTTGTAGCCCGATGGCGTTTTTCTTTCATTCGTATACTTCATCATCTGACGAGATGCTCTTTTTTCTACATGGATAGGCGTAGATTTGAGTCTTTTATACTAGTGGGACAGGATAATAATGGAATTAACTGAATAGCTCCTCAATAACGTCACGTTTGCGTCAACTATAATTATGCCAAAGATGAAATCGTAAGCCACAAGCGTATCTGATGGCCCAATCAGCATTTTAGCGGGTGGGTTACAAGTCAGTACCGGGATTAGTAACATAAGATTAACGAACAGGGACATGTTACCTGGTTGCTAGGATTTGTAGGGCCCGAACATTTTGGGATCCAGCAGTTGGTTAGATGTTATTACTTTGGGTAAATCACTTTACCCCACTTGCTTGCCAACTAAGAGTAAATGGGAGCCTGTGATGGCAGAGGTACTTATTGTATACCCGTTTAGTTACTGTATTGAAGACTTTATTTCCAAATCGAGATAAGCGCCATTTTTTGTCCTCTGAATTTCACCATCTCGCAGTTGCCTTCAGCCACTGTCTGGGGATTTGACCTACAAAAAACAAAACAAAACAAAACAAAACAAACAGTGAGTCAGAAGAGTGGAAAAAAACATTTTGGGAGACCTTGTACACTCTTTTTGTTAGAGTGAATCTTCAATTATTGTGGAAACGGTACTCAATATTTGAATGGTTTATATCTCGTTGTGGAATGAAATCCTACTCCGCAGGGAGTTGAGACGGATTCGGAATGTTCAGATGATGTGAACCCGATTGGCAGGGATGATAACAATAATATCACCTCATCTTAAACAACAGTGTGCTTTGTGCAGCTTTTGAATGTTGTTATTATTTTGGTTTCAAAGTTTATGTTGACCCATCCACCTTCATCTACTCCCCCGCAGTGCCTCGGATCTACGCCTTCGAATTGACTTGACTTTCCTACCGGTACCTGTTTTAAAGGCTGTAAAATAACCAGAAAATTCTCGTGTCTATGTAATGTTCTTATCTACAGGTATTTGATTAGCCTATTTAATTGTTCATTAATTTTAAAGGTTAACTTTAGTGATAATAAACCTGATTGTCAGAACATTAATTTAATCTGGACTGAGTGCCTGTCATTTCCAAAAATCAAATGAAATCAAAGGAAGTCAATTCTAGTGATATCTATCCGCAGCTGCCACTCGTGGCATCCACAAGAACCGACACATACACATGCAGCGTGTCTGTGTGAACTCCCAATATAATCGCACGGGGATGCCCAATTTGTTTGCCAGTCTCGAAATTAACTCCTCATAAACACGATAGCCTTGTGGAGCGACTTTACTACAGTTGAACCACGGTAAATGGTCTGTGGTTGGACGTAAGAATTTTATTCGCTGAAGCCCAACAGGCAGTGCTCATTATAAAACTGAGATATAGAACATGTTGGTCCCGGCATAGGCATTTTCGAACTTTGTCGTATTTTCATTTAGTTACAAAAGCCATGATTAATTATTGGACTTGATCAAATTGTTATGCACTTAGATATTTTTATTCGCGGACGAAAAAGTATTTGCAGGTGGGACATGTCCTCTACCCCTGAATTTACGCCTGCGTTATTTTGTAGGTGTTACCGTACCATTTCCGTTCATATGTTTGATCACCAGCCATATATCTTTGCCGAATATGAGGAATTAATACAGTGCAAAATTACGATTTAGGATATCCCCTCTATTCTGATGACCAACTCTGACATCTTGTGTTCCTGTCAGTTTTCGGAGTGGATATCTTTGTAGGCCAACCAGCGTGATGGGCAGAGACACCATAGGGCGATGGGCTGGGTCGTGATGAATTAGTTTCTAAATCTAACCTTTCTCAGACGTAACCGTCCAAACAGATGATATGTTATTTTAGTCTCCATGGCATAATCCCCCAAATCTCGCAATGCTGAAGAGGCTCCATAACTGAAGTACAGAGTACGTGTGTATTTCCTTCCTCCATGGTCTAATATAGTGATATCGCCGTGACTGTTTGGCTCACCGACTTTTAAAGATGTTCATTGCCATAAAACGCCATTAAAAATTTCTGTACAAAAGTTGAAAATATCTTAGTTAAGTGGGACAGCAGCAGGGTGTCGTCATGGCCACTTAATTAATTGAAGTTGCGAAGTCTTAACAATGAAATTTCGATAAACAAAGTCATGTATTAGAAATTCAGTTGCCAAGAGACCTTAAGAAGTTGAGTACGGCGTACTCTGCATGGTGTCAGTACCTTTGACCTTGGTGGCGTGCGAGTGTTCCTAGTAGAGATCAATGGTGTTAACCACGTTCATTGCAGCACCAGTTCGCAGCCTGTATGCAATGCGCTAGTGAGCACCGCAGATACCGCACACGCCCTGCCGGATCATGTTGGCTTTCTGGGAAACACAGAGCCATTTGGTAAAGAGCATCATGGCGGGTCACAAACTTGCTCACCGTTTTCTGGTGGTGTGCTTTGTCTTGCTGGTGCTGAGCAACGGGGCCGTCGCTGATCGTAAGTTAATGAATTTTCAAACCTGTTAAGCATGTTAAGGGCTACGGTGTTTGCCTTTCCCTCATTTGGTAATGAAATGACACATTTTGTAGATATATAGGACTTGAAGATGGAGAGACTGAAGAGAGGGCTTGCGGTAACACCTAAGCCCTCTGAACGGAATGTGCATTGAACTTGAGGCTGTGGCTACCGAAATGCACTTATAATCCCGCCGTATGCGGGGAATTAATGTGCATGTACAGTCTTTAACGTTCAAGACCGGACCAGGAGAATGGAAGCTGATAACGGTGCGAGGCAGAAGCGAGATGTATTTGAATAATTTTGATTTACATGAATTCAAATGCCATGCCGGCAGTTGCGCGCGAATATAAAGCAAAATCATGACCGACTTCGCCCACAGAGGGCCAAATCGCAAAAACCCATTTTTCCACAAGAAAATGAATTTTCCTCATATTAAGACCCTTGCGTCAAAAAATGGTGATTTTACTTTTCCACTTAGGCCTATTCCAGTTTAAAACAAAAGAAAACAAAGTTACTGTTTTTGGACAAGAAATTTCTTATCGTGACAATTCTTTTGTCTGGATCTGCACCAGCATAGTCGTTGTGTCGTCGTATGAATCGGACCATTTTATAATTTTCCACTCCCCCCCCCAAAAAAAAGAGTCAAGAATCAGAAAAAGAAACTCTGTGATTAGATTTTGGAGTCAAGTTTAACGTAACAAAAGAAGAGCATTGTTATTTTTATTGGGAGGACAAAAAGAACCCCAGCTGAGAGGGTAGGCCAATCATGCGATGTCAACAACACCAGGAACCCTGCATGGAATCGGATGGTAATTAACCTCTATCACCTTTACTCGTGTTGACTCACCAAAGAGGGAGCTGTGTACCTGTAAGCCGGCTAAATACCGTTTAGTTGAATTTATCACCGAAGGCTAAATAATACCCACTGTCTGTAATTATAATTACGTGCATATATGTGCACATTGTAAGCGTTGTCGGAGAAAAGCGGAATGCCGCACTCTCTGCGCTCAAAGCTTGCGTGCGCACTTTCAGTGGGGGTTTTCCCGATTGAATTTAGGGTCGGACCAAGATAACTTGTCCATTGGATTTCTGGAAACTCGCCAATTTCGAAGATATGCACTCATTGCTTCGCACCAGTAGCCTTAGGAAAACCACTAGGCCTATAATGGAAACCATGGTCCTTCTTCTGTTGATTTTAATACGTCATTCTTGAATATTCAAGAACATGGAAAATTCCAGTGAATTTTTCGCTCGGCCCAGCCAAGTGAAATTTCCCGACAAGGAAATTGGTGCCCACACGCACACCGCGTAATGTCATACATGCAGACACAGCGGTGGTCGTGTATAGTGGAATTGCAGCTCTTCTCGCTGGTTGCGCATTCCTGTATCGCAGTATAATCAGGTCGATGATTGACATGCGTATGGGTTGGGAGCCAATACGTTTTGGGGGGAGAATTTCAAACCAGTTGACAGTTTCGTCATCTGGTAAAAACAACCGATGCGGCGAGCTTGGGGAGGAATAAAGTATATATAAGAATGAAATTTGACAACTTTGTCCCAATCGGTTACTTTGTTTCTGTAGAGGCGCACTGATTAACACCATGTCTGTGGGGACGAGGTTGGCAATTTTATGCATGCACATTTTTTGTTTTGCAGTTGAAGACTACTTTTACAACGCCATCGATGAATTTGAAAAGCCCTATTATGACCACGCAGTGAAATTAACCACAGGCGTCATAATTGGCATTGGCGTCGGCGGCTTTGCATTTGTCGTGCTTGTCATCGTCCTGTGTGCCTGCTGCTGCTACCACTGCTGTTGCAAGAGTCGTCCGCCGGCCACCAACACCGTCGTTGTCACAGGTACCCAGCCCCAGCAACAGCCGGTTATGATCATGCAGCAGCCAGTGGCCTATGACCACTCCTCTGTACCACCCTACCCAGGACAGCAGGCATCTTATAACTACGCCAAGATGTAGACTCCCGCCACACCGAAGTACCGAGAAGCCCAAACCTCGGAGTTGTACACTTCTGAACAATCAAACCACTTTCAGATGAAGGAAAACGAAAACACTGTCAGTTTGCCAGATCAAAATGTAGTATGATTTAGGAAACCTTGCACAGTTTTAAGAAAAGCAGGGTAAATGCCATACACGTGCATGGTAGCGCAACTCCCATTTACGATTAATTAACAGGCTGTCAGGAATCAGATATAAATCATTAGACACCATTACTCAGATCACTGGTAATCAGAAAGCTTCAAAAACCGTCATCGTGAGCCTTATTTTTGTACATGTAATCATTTTGGAAATTCATGTATGGACAAAGTTTTTAGGCTTGCTGATCCATTGATTGTCATGTCATAGAATAACGGATTATACATCCACGAAACATGTCTTTTTGGACTGATTGAGGAAGCAGAAAACGAAGGTAAGGCTGTGTCCGAATTACTTGGCTGTGGCCTGAAATTGCGCAATAGTCTGTGGTAGTGGCCGAAGCAAGTTCCCATAGAGCCATGTGTAATTTCAAGCAATAGCCAAGTAATTCGGACACGGCCCAATACTCCTTTACCGTGATTAGCAGCGTTCTCGTTTGATTTATGGCGCCCTCTGTCATTTATACCCAGCTTTTTTTATAAGTTCAAAACGAGTAAGGGTCACAAGGTGACCAAGAATGTCAGAAGATAAAATTTTTCGGCAACTTGGCTTCTGAACAGCTTTTGAAAGATCATAATTATTTGTGTATTATCACAATATAAACTGCATTTTCACAAATATGAAAAAATATCCATGAGTAAAATTGGTGCTTGTTAGAAATACGACCCTTGGGTGCAGTACAATCTTATAAAACCAAGGTCCATTTTGTGACACGTAATACCGACATCGTGACGAAAAACATTATTTTCCCCCTTAAATGCATGTCTATAAGTGCTGTGAAAAGAATTAGAGTGTATTTAAGGACCAAGGTATTTCACACTCTTTGTTTACTTTAATGGAAAATTCGTGTTGTAACTTCTGCATGAAAGATTACTGTAGCTAAATGCAAAAATCATTTCGTTCAGTAGTTCTAGTTTCATCGTGTCAGGCTTTATGTTACGGACTTGCATAATGTCACGAGTAAGCGTCATCTGTGATGTTCCATTTTGAGGCATGAAACAATTTGTTCTTTTAAATAAACAGTTCAAGTTTTGCTCATCTTCTACAAATATCTCGTTCAAAAATAACTTGTGGATTAGATGTGCTTCACAGCATTCGAATTCTGAGATGCAGATTTGAAATTAGTTGTCATTCGTTACTCCTGTCTTTAATAGCGAAAAGACCATGAAATGTCTTTTCGGTGATCAATGAAATGTAGGGCATTAGGGCATTGTTCAGAAACCGATGAGAAGGCCCTTATCAAATACTCAAAGAGAAAGCCCCCTCTGGAAAGTCTTCCAGAAAATGGTTTGAGTGAAAAAAGTTCACCTTAATGAATTGAATAACTAAAATGGTTTAATGCAAACGCGGAAAAACACGTTCCCACATGCACAGAGTGTATGTTGACAACGAATGCGTTGTCGAATACCCACGTAATAGTTAACATTGAAGTCTCTTGGAAGAGGGATCGCGCTTAATCGTTTCCACAGAAAATAATTCAATAGAAAGATTAAGTATTAGGGACCACGTCGTAGCTTTTTAAAAACTTGGATTAACCCAGTCAAACGCGCCAGCTGATCATATACGAGGCCAACCCCGACTTCAAACCCACAATTTTGACAATCGTCATTAAGCTGTGGATATTGTGTGACTGCGTCAGAATTTGGCTAGTTGCCGAGGGGGAAAACACCTTTTTGACCTCACTTCCCCTGTTTAGCATTGTTTTTTGGTTTAGATAACAATACGTTGGAGTGATGTGTGCAGCTGCCAATGAATGGTAATTTTCTCAAACTGAGGACAAAGCAAAACTGTAGGCCAATGCTTTAAAGACAACCCAGGGCTTAATGTCGCAAAATACAAGTATCCCTTCATATAATAAATAGCGCTACTTCGTATTTACGCGTCAATGACCAATTAAAGCTTTGTGAAATAGAGAATTCCAACAAAGGCCATCGGATAGAGCATGGTTGGTTGAAGCTGCTTACATTGTTTACCCCGTTGGCAAGGAAAACAGCTTTTGTCCGGTGGCTCCTGGATCCACCCCGGTGACGTCTTCTGCTTGATGTTGCTTGCCCGACGATTGTTCGCATCGATTGAAAAGACAGTCGTGTTTCTGATCTGTTTATAACGGGTAGAATGAAAGCAAGTGGACGGGTTATCAGTCTGATGTAATCTCCACGCATTCATACCTTTTGGGTCAATGACAATCGTTGCCAACGCAATGCCAGCCCGCATCTACAATAACATGACTCTATGCGCGTAGACTTTCTCATTCCTAGCCAAGACAGAAGGAAGTTATCAGTCGACGTTCGTTTTCTCCTCCCCAATCCAATCAATCAAATCAACAAGTTTAACCATGGCAAGTTTTACTCAGCTTCAGCCGGTTGTTTTGTGTATGCTCCTACTGCTAATCAACTTAGTTAAAGCCCAGTCTCGTAAGTTTTTTTCTGTTTTGTTTCTTCCAGCGGAACTGCAAATATTTTCTCATTGAGAGAAGGTGTAAATTTGTTTCCATTGCGTTTTGTTTTCGTCGTGAATTATTGAATTGATTGAAAAAAGTGGAACAAATTTGACTGTTCATGATTTATAATAGTGCACTTTATAGCTGTATTTGGTAAACAAATACATTCTAATCTCATCACCATATCTTGAATGTATCTTTTTAATATTTTGTGAAAGAAAGCAACATCCAACGCAATTACTGAACAAACAAACGAACATACCTTCCTCGGACACATGGGCCCATACTGAATTTACCCTCTTGTTTGTTTTTGGATGTAGTCGGAGCCGCCGTTGGTCTGGGTGTCGGGATCATCGTCGCCATTGTCATCGGTGCCATTGTCGGTTTGGTCGTCGTTATCGTTCTGTGTGGCTGCTGCTGCTACCATTGCTGCTGCAAAAAGCCCCAAGTGACGCACAACACCGTGGTGGTCAGCCAGGTACCGCAGCAGCCAGGCACCGCCGGGCAGCAGCAGACGCCTGCTCAGCCACCCTCCTACGACCAGCAGGTAGCGTAGCTCCTCACCTGGTCGAAATCTGCACTAAGGACTATTCAGAGGGACAGAGATCTACCTGTCTTGAGGTCTTCCTCAATTTGATATATGCTGTTTACTGTAATCAATTCAGTAAAGAGAGGGGTTAACCAAGTACAAGATGCAAAAGTTTCATGTACCAGTGTACATGTATTGGTTTTTTTTTTCGACTTTTCCAGACAGATTTGCACAGTCAGTCAACATTTTGAAAATACATGTATAGCATGAACTACCAAAATAACTTGCTCTGTAAACTGGTTGGCTTGATTCTGATGTGTCAAAGAGAAGGAAGAAATTTTGTTTTCAGTGGAAAGAAGTCTTTCCCTTGGGCTTTTTTAAAATTGAAATAGCTTATGAATAGTGGCGGAACTAACTATCGGGAAAGGGAAAGTGCTCCCGGAAGTCCGTGCCCCCCGGATTCACCCTCATTTTAAAACTTTGAAAATCAACGAAGCCATTTAATTTGTTTTGAGAGTTAATGTGTGACCATTGGTGCTCCCTTGGAAATTCTACCCTAGCTTCTGTGTAAATACCAGCGGAGCATTTTTTTAGGGGATGGTGTAATATTATACTTGCTTGAGTTTTTTGTCTCGTCGTCTGAAAGCTCTTGATAATGCCGGACGCTGCTCCTTAAGACTTGGATAAAATACAGTAAAGTCTCCAAGTAATGTGCCAATATTTTATGTGTTGTCACTTGCCATTACCTTTCTTCCGTATTAAATTTTGCTCAACTACAAGCAAGACCTGGTTATGGTCCCACCAAAAAGTTCGATGATTACGCAATTTGTGGGGGTAAATTTGAATTTGTACAATATGTGTTTTATAATGTCACTCATCAATCAGATTACTAGGAGGGCATAAGTTATCTGTATTTTGTACTTGGTTATAATTTAATAGTTTTATCATACGAGGGACTTTTTTACTAGCACATAGTTGACAAATTGGTGTCGGCAAGATTGTTGCTTTAAGAAGAGAGAAGGGCCAGCTCTCTGTCATACTGGGGTCATCAACATATCTGTTCTCTTATTAATTTTATTGAGTTCTTGTATTCTTCTCAAAATGTCTGGTACTGGTGACTGGGACACGATTGTCAGGGGAAGGGAGGGCAATACCCGTACTTCCCCTAGGTATGGGCTGGAAATCTCTCCTCGATCATGGGGGGGGACATCAATTTACACTTTTTTGAGCATAACTCGTGTTTATGATCTTATTCCATTTATAAAATCTCAAACGGGAAAATCCTCGATCCATCAATTCCTTTAATATTTTGTTTTGCTTGAAACATGGAGGGGACATTCGACATTGTCTCCCCCATACCAAATTCATGGGGGAGGGGCGTGTCCCCCTGTCCCCCCAGGGTTTCCGCCCATGCCCCTAGGTTACACTTACACTTTACTTCGTTGAACAACACGTGTACATTTTGGACTTAAAGATGGAGAGCGCATATTGTATAATCAATAGTGAATTGTAATCCACTTGGCATTAGAGCTCTCAACTGGTGTATTAATACAGAATCTAGATTGTGAATTTCGGTACTCCTATTGTACAGAAACCCAAGTCCACTAATTGTCAAATGCATGGAGCACGTGCAACACATGTAAAAGGAGTACAGAATTCATGGAATCCGGATGACATATTACACCAATGATTGAAGCTACTGATTTATTGTATATCTTTTTAGATTTGGTGAGGTATGAACCAAAATGTTTATACATTGCAGTTTCCGTGTAAAACCCTGCAGATAATTGCAAGCATTTGTGTTTGATTTTTATTTGTGATTTTATGTTCAAACGTAACTTTGGATCTGTATTTTTATATCGATACATTAGGAATGCCGTTTTGACTTAAGTTAAAACAGACACGTTAATGTGCACATTTCTTTTCGAAATGGACTGCTTTGTACATAATAAAGGTCGTTTCCTATGAGCTGTAAAAACGTGCAAGTGAGATCAGTCTTCTTCGTTAGTATTTTTAATAGACTCATTTGTAGCATTATTCTGAATCTCAAGTTGTTCTGCAGTAGTTTCGTACTCATGAAATGTGTCACCAGGCCTTGAACGACGATCTTTGAAACCGCATAGCGAATACTTTTTTCATGCATTGTGATGCAAGATATTATGCATATTCATCATGGTGATCGAAGAAATTTGTCGTGTTGTTCTGTACACACGTAAATATAATAAAAGGTCTCGTTAGAAACAGGTTCACAGAGCTACGGCTATCTCTTATCATCCTCATCTGCCCATGTGCAACCCTCAAAGACCTAGACCTGTGCACGTACTCGAGATTTCAATTTGGATGCTGCCTTCAGTTGGAGTTATGTGGGCTGATTCGCTTTTGAGTTTCGTCATGACTTCCATTGACTAGTGGCATGCATGAGTAATTTAGGTGTGAGAGTGCGAACCACGATGACTTCTACGAAACGACCCTGCAAGCACATGCATGAGCATGCGCGAATACATTCTCCAATTCAACGATCATTAGAGCCTTCCTTTATCAGTTGGACAGGCGTTTTTCTGAAATCGACGATTTCCAGTCGATACCTCCTTTGTGAGAGTAATCGCGCCATGGCGACTGCTGGACAAATCCTCTGGTTTCTGATGGTACTGATCAACTTGGCTAACGCTAATAGTAAGAGAGTTCATCCGACATTAATTTTAACTTAATGTTAAGTCAAAATTTGTGCATTATGTGCATTACAGTTCAACAATGGCGTATACATCGTACATGTATAGAGCCTTACTAGGGAGTGGTATACATAGGCCTACACCGTACACGGGAGGACGCTCACAAACTATAGTTCTTAACTATTGTAAAGCTTGATGTTAGAATACGTCTTTTGTTCTGCTGGAATCTGAAATGGGCATTTTTTGAGTTGATATCACTTTCGTATCACTTTTCCATATTTGTTGGGCCTTGTGTCACAAAACACTTTTATATACTTCAAACCGGGCGTGGATAAAGCAACATTCATACGCAACCCAAAATAATAAGCCTTTCGCGAATCAAATTTAAATAACATCTGATACATTGAGTTGTTTAAGTCCACGTTAACATAACCATTTGAATTCTCCATGCTAAAGACACTGTTGCTATCCGGTTCGTAACTGTTACGTCACTTTTGCACACTAATTGTGCGCGAATCGTGGCGCGTCCGCCTTTGTGACGAAGTCACGAACTGGATACCTTTTGCTAAGTTACATAACAGACACCTTGCACCAATATACTGTTATCAATGGATAAGCTTAAGACGGTCAAAAAGGAATTAGTCCCCAAGCTTGCCCCGGATCACGAAGTATAGCAACAGCGTCTTTAGTCTGGGGAATTCAAAATGTTATGTTTGTGTGCAATTAAATAACTTAGTGCACCAAATTATACTCAACAATAACTCACAACGGGCTTATTTAAGCAACTGGGTGATAAATTCATTGAATCATACAGCAACATGTACTAAAGTCGCCCCAAAGCTGCTTTGACGCGTAATAATCTCCCTCCCAACGTAGATTTTGAGACTGCAGTTCAACTGGGCGTTGGAATCATTGTTGCCATTGTCATTGGTTCAATTGTCGCTGTCGTACTTGTCATCGTCCTGTGTGTGTGCTGCTGCTACCACTGCTGTTGCAAGACACGCCCACCGGCCCAGCAAACCGTGGTGGTGACGCACGCACAACAGCCTGGCATGGCTATGCAACAACCGACGCAGTACTGAATGAGGGAAGGACAGGAACCAGTCACCGGGAACCAGTCAACCATGACTCTTGAAAGGGTATCAGCAATGGCTGCATTGCTATTTCACTTCGAATAGTCACGGCTACCGACTCTGTAGAGCATAAAATCACGTGTTTGATACATGTATAGCGCACTTTTCACATACTGTTTGGTTTGAACTTTGAGTTAAATTTGATACAGAGCTGTAGATATGTAAAGCTTCCATTTATAATTTGTTTTGTCAATTTTTTTTTCGAAGATTCCTCCCTTGAGATGTTACCGGCAATGTAAAATGTAGGTAACTAAAGATGGGGGTATGCATGTACCGTATATGAAATGTCTATGCATTTAAATAAAACCTGACTGAAATTTGAAATAGTGGGACCACTAACTGCTGAAATTTATCAGTGTAAGAAATCATACTTCATAAAGGAATAATATGGAAAATCAGTAATACCCTTGTTTAGAAATGATGGGCCAGATTCTACACTTGACTCTATTCCCTGTATTATGCAGCAGTGTGTTTTACTTTATAATAATGTCAAATAAAAACGATGCCAAACAATGAATACTTACAAGGTAGCTGCAATGCATTTAAAAATACAAACCTGCAAAATTCTCCTTTACATCTCAGTGAACCTCATTTTCAATTTTTGTTTCACTAGTTTAAAGAGTATTTTTGCTGCCTTTTTGATTTGTATGCTAATGAGCATTTTTTCATGTTTATGAGCAAAATAGTGATGTCATCCCAGGAAGAGTGATCTCAATATTGCGTTGGTTTGTACACAAAAACCACTGCTGATTTTTTTTTTTTTTTAGAATTTGCTGGCTTCCATTTTTATTCTTGGGTGATTTATTGTTGTTTAAGTACATAGCAATAAGCTAGCATGAAGCCCTTTCTCCGAAATATTTTCATTGAGTTAAGTTTGGGTTCAAAATTTGAACAGAAAAACCTATGCACTGAAACATGTCTTCCCTAGATGATATCAAAGCAACAGCGCCCTCAGTTGTCCAGGAAAGAATGGGCAAGTCTTAATATTTTATAATTTTTCCCGTGCATTTAACAGAAAAGGTGTGTCAAGTATCTTTTATATTTTGGAGAAGAGTATGAAATAGTAGAAAAATTCGTTCAAAGAAAAATTCATTGCTGCTACATAACGCTAAAAGTCGTACCCCCTTTTATCCTCTTATTCCCAGAGCTACTAGTGGAAATGTATTCGCGCTTATTTCATACTGTGAACCTTGGGAACTTCGGTCTTTTCTACTTTGTGTTTTTCAAATGATTTGCCTTGCAAAACTGTAGAACTTCATTAAATAAACCAACTTGCTAAGTTACCTTTGAGATCAGAGAATTCAGAGCGTCTTTTAAAATTGCAGACTTCAATGATATAGCATTCACATGAATTATGCATAGGCATGCACTTAAACAATAGTGACCATTAATATGCACCCATAGTCTTTGCGATAGGCCTGAATTTCTTTGTTTCCTTTCATCCAGAATTTGCTGGTGCTATCTTGCAGCCCTTTCTGATTGTGATCATCGTCGTCATCTGTATTTGCTCCCTTTTGTGTCTTGTTTGCATCATCATATGCGCCTGCGTCTGGTACCATGGATGTTATAAGAAACGACGAGGACATCCGCAAAGAGAAGTGGCTACTGGCATACCCTCACAGCCGCTCGATGGGCCTACCATGGCACTGCAGCAGATTGGTGAACGCGCGTTAGCTTACAATTTACAGACCGATGGGCAACTGGTACCCGTAGGCAGCAAGTGCGAACAACTGATTAACGAAAAGGTGGTCAGACTTCCACTGAAATTCACAGCAACAAGGGACTAATGTAATCAGCAGAGCAGCATCTGTGACATGAGACTTAGTGACTGTCATCATAGAGGAAAGTGCGCTACATCATAGGGTGATCGAACAACTTTCACGACATTCAAAGGCCCCGAAAAAGTAGATGACTAGAACCCAAAGGTAGCAATCGGCATTGTGAAGTCAGCAATCGGGCAAAATAATGACTCACTGCGTCCAAAAATGCGCAGAAAAACAATCCTGAAAAGATCTGGCTAAGAACTTCATATATGCGACACACTATGAACGTCATTGCAATTCATAGGCTAATGCTCATGTCCCCACCTTGTTTACAAGCTAAATTCGAGTTTCAGCACCAATGATTTTGCACAATGAGCATCTATTACTTTCCTGCCGTGAATACAGAGACACGAATCGGCCGTAACTGACATTCTGATGGAGTAAATGAATACCTAAAAATACTGCAATAGAAAAGCTGATTCCGATTTACTTGTAATGTGTGCACCTATTCAACTACGAAAGCGAATTGCTGCAAATGTAAAGCATGAAAGTTAAGTCGTGTAACCCCAAAAGAATTGGTTTTCAAGTTAGTTATGTCCCCTGGTAAATGTGTCCCCTTACCGGGTCGCTGAAATGTGTTCGAGGGGACACTCACCTAGGTAGATCGCTGGGCTTTTCACTGGGGCCATCTCGAGGGGGGGGGGATCCGCCCCCTAGATCTCGGCTCTTATAGGCCCAATCATTGTGATACTACACGTACAACTATATGTGAAGTTCCAAATTAATCTGGCATTGACGTTAAATTCGTTTGAAGTTCACGGCATCACGCGTGTCGCCGAGCGTGTATTGAGCTCATCAGAGGAAAAAAAATCACTTTAAACGATAATGTCTCGGCAAAAATGCGCGTTGCGGCGTTAACGTTGCGGCGTGTCCGATTTTTACAAAATGTTACTAGAAACTCCTTGAAACTTTACACGTGTGCACTGCAACGACATTGGAAAAATGGTGAGGGGAGGGCGGATTCTCCCGGCTGTTTTTATATTTAAGTAAATTACTGGGCCATTTCAAGGAGTTCATCACATTTACGTCACATTGTCCTCAATCATGAGAGCGGTTCCTAAGCCCGGAGTTGTTTCAACTTAAAGATTTACGAATTCCACATATAGGCCGATGTTAAACGAAATAACTCTTTCAAACGAGACAGTAATCTTTTAAACCAGATCGCCAAGTTGTTTAAAAAACAAAGCTGGCAGCAATACACTTCCGGACTCAACAGCTCAACACGTTATTGTGGTTAGTCATTTCGTCTCAGTGTTTTTTCACCCCTGAATGTCATCACAGTACAGAGCCTTGCAAAATCGGACTCAGGTGTTCAGTATGCGGTTTACAGCATTTGCAGAGAGCATTTGTTTTGTTCAGAAATCAGCAATAAATTGAATCCGTCAGGGAACGTTCCACTTTTTGAAAATCGGTTTTATGTGATGAACAAGTAATTATAAACATACATAGCAACTGTCTTTGCGAACAGATTTTGAGAATGGTCTGGTACACTGCCTCTTTCATGGATTTGTATATGATTCTGCATTTTGATGAATAGGCTCAGATCAATTTCAGGTCTGTCGGTTGATATTTAAACGGTTTGACATTAAAGGCTATGATTTCCTTGAATACAATGGTGGCAAATAATCTTGTTGATATGTGACCTTATGGTCAAATTTTCGGTTTGCAACGCGCACGCACATTCAAAGCATGAATTCCCTGCGAAGGTCATGATGAACGCAGTTCAAAGTACTCGTACGTATACGTGACTTCGCTCTGTACATGTATTTTATATCAATTCTATGCTGGCAACGCGGAGTCACTTCCTTCCTTCCTTGAAGGCTAAGTAAACCGAAGCATATAGGTACATGGAAATAAGAGTTTTAAGAGGTTGCTTTTCTCCTCCATGGTACTGCACTGCAATGTCATAGTACATTATTAAGACTCTATTTGCATGATTGGTTGGTTCTGTGTAGGCTTACCAATGTACGCTAAGCCTACTTAACTTCAAGTTGCCCTTGACCGAGTCGTCTGTGGATTACCTTGCTGTTATGTCTTTGAAGCCAATTAGAGGGCCGCTCTGTGACACAGTCTGCCCGTGTTTCAACGTCGTATCCAGCTTTTAGTGCTGGGGGAGGGCAAAAATTCAAAAGGAATTGCAGTTTCGGGATTGATTAACATGATGTTGGGGGAGAAAGAAATGTAAGAAGCCACATGTTCCCCCTCCCCTCTGCAAACGCCACTGCTTTGTTGATATAGTCTGACTAGCGTTCTTCCTTCTGGGAAGATGGCTTCCCATGGTTTGTGTTTTTTGTTTCGTTGGTTTTTTGTTTTGCTGTGTTTTTGAGAACAAACAGTAAGAACCGGATGACTAAATGGGAGGTCCCTGTATACAAATACAATATCGTGCATCAGAAATAAAGCTCTTTCCCCACACAAAAATTAAAAACATATAGAATTCGCCATCCGAGGTTGCAGTATCGGGTTTTATTTGTTGCTGTTTACTTCACTTCTTCAGCGCCTTCAGGTCTCTGCAAACTCGATGAGTTTCGGTGCGATAATGACAAGTATACATCGTACATGTATAGAGCCTTACTAGGGAGTGGTATACATGTACAGGGGCTCACAAACTATAGTTCTTAACTACTGTCTACATGCGTATATGTAAAGCTTGATGTTAGAATACGTCTTTTGTTCTGCTGGAATCTGAAATGGGCATTTTTTGAGTTGATATCACTTTCGTATCACTTTTCCATATTTGTTGGGCCTGGTGTCACAAAACACGTTTCTATACTTCAAATTGGCCGTGGATACAGCAACATTCAAACGCAACCCAAAATAATAAGCCTTTCGCGAATCAAATTTAAATAAAATCTGGTACATTGAGTTCTTTAAGTCCACGTGAACGTAACTATTTGAATTCTCCATGCTAAAGACACTGTTGCTATCCGGTTCGTAAGTGTTACGTCACTTCGGTTTAACCCACGCCCATAGAGTACCGAAGTGTGGCGTCACTGTGAACCAGAAAGAGCAGTTCAAACGAATGGAGTACGCGTGCGTGTTGGTTCACGCGCTGGTTCTCGCGCTAATGCCTTTTGCACACTAATTGTGCGCGTGACGTATTCACTTTGGTACTCTATAGGGTTACATGCATTGATCGCCGTTTACGTGAAACAACATGGAACTGGAAGTTAACGCGCAACTTCTGCAATCGTCCAATGGGAGCCTGCGAATCGTGGCGCGTCCGCCTTTGTGACGAAGTCACGAACTGGATACCTTTTGCTAAGTTACATAACAGACACCTTGCACCAATACACTGTTATCAATGGATAAGACGGTCAAAAAGGAATTAGTCCACAAGCTTGCCCCGGATCACGAAGTATAGCAACAGCGTCTTTAGTCTGGGGAATTCAAAATGTTATGTTTGTGTGCAATTAGATAACTTAGTGCACCAAATTATACTCAACAATAACTCACAACGGGCTTATTTAAGCAACTGGGTGATAAATTCATTGAATCATA